GGTGTTGTTGTTGTTGTTGTTGTCGTCATCGTCGTCGTTGTTGTTGTTGCTGTTGCTGTTGGTGTTGTTGGTGTTGGTGTTATCCCTGTAGCGTTTTTGCTCGGTTCCGTAGTGGCCGAAAATCGTTAAATCGGTGGTGTTTTCGCGTGTTTTTGTAACTCTCGGAGCAAAAAATACCGTAAATACCAATGTTTTTGGCGGGTCGGAAGCCCAAAACCACGGTATTTACGATGTTTTTTGCCTCTAGTTTGGCCAGCACCTGGCAAAAACACTGGTATTTACGGAGGTTTCACCATGTAGTAAAATGTAGTTTCTTGATCCGAAAAGAACAAAAATATTGTAAATTACAATGTTTTGAGTCTCCTCTTAGGGTGCGTGTGCGTGGGACGTGTGGAGGGGGGGGGGGGGGTGGTACTCAAAATAATAGCAATCTCCTGAAAAATCAGGTAACGGGGCTGGCCGCCCTCCCCTTTACTTCGTAAAGTAAAACTCAAGGTAGCCCCTCTAGAGCTACCTTTCGTAAAAAAATAAAAAATCTAAATAATAAATTTTACAAAAAATATTCAAATCTTATTAAAAAAACAAAATATAAAATCAATTCAAAAAAAAATAAATTTAATATTTATATATTTTTTCCCACAATATATAAATATAACACAATTTCAAGAAAAACAAAATAAAAAATAATATATTATATATATATTATTAAATATATATTTATTTCTAATATATATTTTATTATTGTATTTTTAATTCTTAAAAATCATATTTGCGCAAATTTTGTGATATAGGTTTAGGATCTCGTCGTGCCTCTGTATTTATATCTTCTGAAAATTAGCGTGTTTTAATCAACCGATCATTGGCACAACAGGTTAGGCAATCAACTCCCTTAAGGTGTTAATTACTAAAGTAGGTTGTACAATCCGCAGAAAATGGGATTGTAGGGTATATACCCCTTGTCTGATAGAAATTGGCAAATGTGGCTTGTGGCTGTGTCAGGATTGGGGAAAAAGCGAGACCCAAAACGAGACCTAGAAATACCTAGAGGTATCTAGAGGCACTTTACTCATCTGCTCTCCTCCCCTCTACTCTAGTCTTCTCTTCTCTAACCTATTCTTCTTTACTCTACTCTTCTCCACTCTACTTATTTACCCATCTCTACTCTGTTCTACTCTTATTTGCTCTACTCTACTCTTCTCTACTCTGAATGTCCGTAGCACAGAAGTTTCTAAGTTTCTCTCCTAAACTTCCTTTGAACAATGGAGCGAGGTAGTGTGAGGAATGGGACACACTTCCTAGTCAAGACCATCGTGCCAACGGGATTTGGGTCATAGACCTCAAGCCTTCAACAAAGGATGATGTACAACAACAATCAACAACATTTGTCTGGCATCAACTTCCCCACGGCACAAAGGATGTGGGACGACTTCCCGCGACATGAGACATGTAGGGTACAATACCCTTTATAATAATAACATTTACCTAATTTATCTATTTAATCATTTATGCATTCATAATGTTTTTTGTTCTTATGTACAAGTTGTTGGAATTTGAAGCGATTCACAAAGTGAACTATGGACGACAAAGGCCGCCTGCGTTTTTGAACGTTTTAGTGTTGTTGCGCATGTTCGTTCGAATGGGAAATTCATGAAGAAGGATGATGAAAACAATTGAAAACATATATATGAAAAAATTGAGAACAACTGTTTCCACTCATGCCTTGGCATCCTAACATACAATACAAACCCGATTTTTGGGGGGTGCCGGAAGAATGAAGAAATGGATTTTCAACATTTTCTCTGAGAATGGTTCGTTGACATGCATGGAGGCCTGGGTTGTCTCTTATTCTGTCGCGCTAGCCGTGCTAAGCTCCCAACATCCATAGCATCAGGACAAGCCAAGGCAACTAGCTGCGTCTGCAAGGCGCTGCGACCAATGTCGGCGCTGTGCCTAGGGTATGTTGATACCACATTATTTCACATTATATCCCACCCCTAGGCCCTAGGATGTTAGATTTCTCACACAGACTTCTATCTCACCTTTGAACTGCTGGAGTTGCCTGACGGTCCACCAAACCAATTGAACCTGCCCCTGACGTCAAGTTGCACAACTAGCTGCAGCACACCTGGTTTTGCTCCCCAGCCTGAGATGCATAGCCAAATTGAACCATGGAGCCACATGGATCCATCTACATTTCTACAGAGGGATACACAGCGGCCAAACTGTTGCCACAACTTGGTCATGGGAGTTGATGAGAGGCATGCCCTACTGGAAGATCTGGAAGCTGAAGGATAAACCAACAAAGCTCACATGTGTTGGTGAAAACATCTTATGTTGCTTGACAAAATGCATTCCTTTGAATCTACGTAGCTCCTTGAAATCTTTTCCATAGTAGGATCTAGTCTATCCATCATGTCACCTTGCTGGTGAAACTGCACAAGTTTCGCAACGTCAAGTGGCGAAGCAAGCGACCGACTTGTTTGTGCAGCCGCAAGTTGCGTCTCCCCTTGGCGGTTGACACAGTGGAAGAACCTGGATGCTGCAAATCAGCGAATGTGGTCAAAACATTCGGTTGTCACTGAAGGCTCTCTGCAACACTGCTGAGCGAAGGGTTTTGACCACAACTGCGCTGACTTAATGATTCTTAATTTGTTTTCTAAACATCTCAGCAGGCCTGACAAATTTCAATTACCCTGCGGTCATCTGCAGTGCTTGACATGCACAGCGTATTTCTGCAAGCTATGATGGAACGTGATCGAGCTAGATTTGGCATGATTTGGGAACTCGTTTTGCAAAGTCCTGCAACTTCGAAATGTGACACAAGAAGATGGTGGAACATGGTGGAACCGCCCTCTAGATCCTCAAGCCAAACGCCTCCATCATCTGTGAAGGTACTGTCACTTGTCATCGATCGCCGCCGCGACCTTGTCCGCATGACTGTGTTGCTAGGGCTGACAATGAATGATTCACGCTTGTGACACTGCTACAGGAAATCAGTAAGAGCGTTGAAGTGGTGCATCCTGGAGAGCAAACTACAGAACCTTTCAAAACCTTGACCGCCATAATGTACCACGTATGATGTTTTTGTCAAAGCACACTTGCACACACACACACCAAGCTTTTTGGGATTACAGTATATAGACAAGGCACGCAGCAGAAGCAGGTGTAAAACAGCTGACTGGTGATGCCAGGTCACTCCCCGACCTGTCAGTCGGATGGTGGATGGTTGAAGGCATCGACGGTGACCCGAGGCCAGAACAAGCAACATGCAGCATTTTTCAAGCAAGATCAACAATGATCAACATATATCAAAATAGATCAAGGACGTAGTGTCTTTCAATGTCCTTTAGCAGTTTCCCTCGACTTTGCTCTTGTATCATCTTGTATCTCTATCATTCTCTATCAGCTTTTGTCAGCTTTTCAATCCGGTGAACCCTACTCCAACGATCCGTCAAACGTGCACAGGCAGGCATGCTGAAAGCTCCTTCTGGTTGGAAGTGGAAACTCCAAAGCCCTGCTCCGTTCGTATCTCAGGTGCCACTGTACAGTATGGATCAGAGGTCAGACTGCGGAAAGAATCCCATGTTTCATCGTGTTTTTATCATGTTTCATCATGTTTCCAGTCTCAACTGCAACACAACTGTGCAATGGCCATGATGGGGGACATGACATGTCTCCAGTGATTGGCTTGAAAGAAAACATGTCAGTATTGTTCAAATATTGTTCAAATGGGCAATTTCAGAAGGGAAACTGAAAACTATTGGAGTCAGCGAATGTCAAGGTCGAGGGGCGGCTTGTCATCGCCGGCGCAAGGTGCAAGCCAAGCATATCCACAAAAACCCACACGTCAGGTTCCGTTTGGCGCGCATGCACGCTCAAAAACCTCAACCGACATCAGCACCATGAAATTGATGGGACGGATGAGATCGATTGAAGATGATGTAAGGGTCGGGGATACTAAGTTGTTTTATAGGTTCCACAATGTTCTTCTCTTGTGAATATTCTGGAAACCCTGAAGCCATGGGTGAAAACATGTGAACGCATTCACGTTTGCCACGAAACCGATCTGGCGGATTGTTGACCACCATTTGCCCAGCATTCACCTTGGTGCCGTGGTGATCCGAAACCACAATACGCCTCCAATCGTCTCCATGGTGAGGTATGCGTGATATACAAACAGAAATAACATAATGATAATGAAATTGATGAATGATAGTACTTACATTACAGATCATTACAGTTAGCAAGCCCTACATTAAGGGCTGAACATCAAAATTCCTGGGCAGGGAGAAAGCATCAAATCATATCAAATCAATCTGCCTAAATAATCCTAAATATAATTGCAAACTATGGCAAAACTGTATGAAATCTTACGGAAGAAGAAATCCCTTGCTTTTGGTTGCAGTGGCCTGCGATCCGTGCTGATTGAATGATATGCAGTCTTTTTGTAACAAGCCGTGCCACTTTGGCTGGAGCAATGACCTTTGCTGACCAACGGTGGGCGCCGAAGAAGGGAAAGCAACGCCTCAGTTGGCCGACATCACAATGGGTCAAGACTAGCCGCAGTGGAACTTCCTGTTTTCAGGCGCAAGGTGGCGCAAAGTCGACGGATTTTGTGGTTCTAGAAACCACCCATCATCATCCAATACACCGTTTCTGCGGCCAAGGGACATCAGCGCAAAGGCTCGTGTCATGCGTTGAAGCTGCGGGATACGAGGCCCAAATTCAGAACGCATGTCATGGACCTAGCGAAGCAACTCAAGCGGCTAAGGCTGCTGGCCAAGAGATTTGTGCTAACTCCCTTTTTTCCTGGCTCCGAATGGATGGAAAAGCTTCGAACATCTTCGAACATATCAAATATATATATATATATCAAATCATATCATTGCATAGTGATCTTGAATGTCAACATTATTTCTGTCGTGGCACCCCTATGTTGAACAAATGGGAAATTCAATCATCCAGTGCAGGCAACATCGAAGGATGAGCTCTTGTGACACCATAGTCATCCATAGTCATCCATAGTCTGGGTATGTCTAGGTATGTCACAGTGATCGCGCTCAGAGCTATGAGCATTTTCCGGCCTTGGCCAGCAGCATTCGTCGCACTTCATCTTGCTGGGCAGGCTTTAAGCCGCTCATCTGCCCCTGCAGGGATCCAAAAGATCCAAAACCACTTGGAGATACTCCCCAACATTCCCCAACTATCAAAACAATGTGGATTGCTGATTGCCTCCTAGATTTTGGTGAGAGAATGATGGTGGACTTCGCTTGAGAATGGGCGCGGTCATCGGGCCTTGAGGAGTTGACAAACAAGCGCGTCATTGTCCTTGATCTTTTGAGAAGGGTTGTAACCTGGGATGGACTCATGACAATGACGCGCCTCGCCCTTATCGAAACATATCCAGACTTCATTACTTTCATTCACCAGTCTGGGCACTCAAATCTTTGGGTTCCGTGGTATACACGCCAATCATTGCCAATCCATTGAATACCAACCACCCTACAGTAATCAGCTATGTCCCTGCCTCCCCACGTTTCCAAATCAATGCAGGTGACACTCCAACCACATCAGTGCTGCAGCCGTGGCCATCTCTTCCGCCTCAGCACCTGCTTGACCTCGAGCTTTGGGATGTACACCGATGGGGTTGTGCAGCAGGATATGGGCGTGTGATGGCGCGTGCCCCAAAACTATACAGAGGGCAGCCTACAGAAGCTCGTCCAAAACTTGATGATGGAGATTCTCTCTACTCCAGACTCCAGGAACGCTACACCTTGAAAGGGGCACGGCTCGAAATGAGTTTCCATCACTTTCATATCTTTCATTCATTTTCCTACCTGATCTAAGCCTGATCTACCTGTACAGATTCTCTCACTGTCACCATGTCACAAGAGTGGGATCCACCATGGACAAGGAACAGGGAACTGGGCGTCCCATGTGGCTGCGCACCGCCTACGAGTTCATGACACTTTTGGTGCTAAATGTGAAGCTTTTGTCACCAAATCCTGCTCGTATGAATCGTATCATATCCGTATGTTGAATATTGTTGTATCCATTTCGTGTGCTTTTGGAAGTCAAGTGTGTCATTCTACTCTTTTTACTTCCCCCCCTGGTGAACTGGACTTCTCTCGTGTTGGGAATCTCAGCTGCACCTGCCGGAAGGTCAATGCTGCGTGGTGCAAGTCTCCGGCCAAGAGCATCTCCTCCAAGCCCGGCCAATGGTGGATTCTCATCTTGAAAATGGTTAAACATGGTTAAACTATGTTAAACTCTCTAGTCAATACCTATTCCCAAATCGGGGCGTCTCCAAGCAAGTGATTTTGGCGACTTTGGGGATTTCATAGGATTTCATGGATCCTGTTTCACTCGAACATGCACAGCCCCAAGCCATTGTCACTCCTGCGGCCGAAGAAAACGGCGCAACCAGTGCAAATGGCCTTAGCTTGAGTGGAGACCAGCGGATTAGACCAGCACAACTGGAAATGTCTTGAGGCAGGCCTCGTAGATTGGTCGCTTCACGAATCTGCTGCCACATGTTGATCAGCTCGGAGACTGGAAGCATGTCAGGCAGCATCCTGTCCGTATCCAGCCCGACAGAAGCTACAACACGTATGCGACAGCATATGTGTATCGCGGACGGCTTCTGCAGTTCACACAAGAGGTGCATGATTTTAACTGATGCAGCCTAGTATTGAGAACACTCACAAGTGTGACATGTGCTCATTGGTTCGCAAGAGGTTTGTGAAAATAAATAGCACAGTGAGTTTACCCACGTTTTCTTTACGAGTTCCCTGAATAGGACGACTCCCAAACTCCAAACATACCGACAAAATATTTTGGAATGTGTTTGTATACTGTACATGTTCCCAGCCTCAACGAATCGCTGCGATTCGTTGCCTGAAAGAATGCAAAGTCCCTCCAGTGCTTCACGCCAACTCTGCTCCCCATTAGGGAGGATAGCTCTTTGAGAGTTGTGGCCACTGGAACGAACAAATTCCTGGGTTGGCAAAGTAAGCAACATTTTCTGTCGTTGTCGGGGAGACTCTCTGACATCTTATTGTCCAAACAGCTATGGGCCAATGGGGGTTCTGCAAATGCCCCCAGTTTGGCTATGATTTTAATGATTAAAACAGATTCAAATTCAAATAAGGGCAAAACTTGAAGTTGAAAATGCAATCGAATCCATTTGAAACCAAGCCTCTGTGAAGATTTATCAACAAGATGAACAAGCACGCCAACCATGTCGCCAGACACGTCTGAATCTGCAGGTCTGGGCAATGCTGCGGCTAAGGCCTGACAGCGCTGCAACATGTTGCAACGAGGAATTAGGCACATTCTTCGCGGTGTGAGCGTACACTTTGAAACCCAAAATGACACACCCTGCCCCAAGCCCGAGATATCTGTGGGACGAAAAGGCTCTGCTCCGCGGGCACATTGAGAATACACATACAAACAACCCGTAGCAAATCATAGCAGACAAGGAACGATCCTGGTGTAAAATGATTCTTTCTGGTCATCCCTTTCCAAAAATCACAAGCATCACCAAAAATTTGCCCGACCTCAAAGCACTCCGCAGCAATCCGCGCAATCTCCCAGTTGCTAGCATCTGTCTCTGCATGGCTGGCTGGTGCACGACGCATCTTCTGCGGGCGGTTCAGGCATGAAGCGGCCGGTCATAGCTCATTTGTACCACTTGCACAACAGTTTAGCCAGCAGTGGCCAGCAGTTGATTGATTGGTTACCCTGGGTTTCCACATGAAAGGAAGCAAGGATTCCAATTTGGGGCGCCCCTAAGATCCCGAAGATCCTCCGAAGCATCTATCAGCCATGGTCAAAGGGATGATCCCACCTGGGCACAAAAGAAGCGCACGAAGTCATCAAGCCTCGGCCGCTGGGAAGCTTTCCCACCCGCAGAATCCAAAGGAGCGCAACAGGACTGGATTCGGCAGAATCTAAAACTGGTGACTGAAAACATTCTGCACCTTCAAGTAGTCGCAAACATATTACAAGCTCAAGTATGTAGATCCTTCAGAGTACTTCAGAGTGAAAAGGTGGATCCTCCCACACCTTAGAATCCTTAGAAATACCGAAACATCACCTTGAGATCCTGGAAGTCAGCTGGGATACAAATGCAACCCCTTGCTACCACACCCTTTGACTGACTTCTGTGTCTTGATTTTCAGTGGCTGACTTCCGCGTGGCAACTGTGGCAACAACAAGAGTTGACATAGCAAAAGCCAAGTCTCTCATCGCTCGGCATGGTAGCTTTGCAGATCCTCACCAGGTCACCAGCTATCAGTGACTCCAAATCCTCTTGAAACCGAATTGCAAATATCCTTTCCGAAAAAACAGAATCAAAGAAACAAGGAGTGACTCGTGCTTCGTGAGGGATGATACCCCGGTGCTAGCTCATTTTTCTGGATTTATCCCCCCATGATGCACCAGCAAAGTTCCATAATTTTGGCACCAGCGGCTGGAGCAGAAGTTGCCATCCCAGCCATTCAGAGCGAGGAGATGGGTTTCCAGACAATTGCCTTGGCCCAAGAGGAAACGCTTCGTTTACGTGCGATGCATAGGAACATGTTTTGCCTCAATTCTTCGGGGTGCTTATGCGAAACTGGTACTATCATTTCGCCAATGATCTTGGCTAGTTGAAGTAAAGTACACGCAAACTATTGCCATCAATCATTCAAAAACAGGGTACACCCGAAGTTCTTGGTAATTAATAGACCGATTTTCAAACACCTGATTGCAATCTGATCAAAGCCCAGATGCTTGAGCAGCTGCATGAAGACCTCGTCTCTCATCAAAGGATCGGAGCTTGCCTCAAGCCACGAAAAGATTCATGCTGGACGGCTCGGGACTTGACATTGCCATACTAGAAAAAAATATAACATATAGAATAACTCTGACCAAGTGTATGATCTAAACATGTTCTTTTGGGGAAACTAAAACACATCTACCATCATCTACCTACATTCACATGATCCTACGGAATCCTATGTGCTAGTGAAACTTGATTCTCTGCTAGTTGGGCAGTAAATGTTGGCTTGCCGAATGGATTGTGCGGCCACACGTGGCAAATCAATGTTTGAGCTGACAAAACAGGTGTTGAAAACCCAAAGCACATCCTACGATGTTGCAGTATTCCTGAAACATCACCCATAAATGGTTTCCCCTTCTACCCCACAGTTCTGGGTGTTCCGATTTTAGGAGCTCAAAAGCAAGCATGATTCCAATCGTCCTGAAACCTTTCTGAAAACAAATAGTGATTGTTGGTGTGGCATCTGCCCTTGTCAGTGTTTGATACAAGCAATATCCAAATCTTCATCACTCCCATCTCCATTTTGGTTAGCTTCCCAGCTTCGATACAGAAATCAAATTCCAACCTCTGGTTTATTCTGTCTGAGTAGATCAGTATATCATCAGTATATCTAAGTCTAAGTTATATCATGTTATATCATGTTATATCATGTTGTCATGTTCTATCCTCGCTTTGGTTCTTGGAGTCCTCCAGCTTTCCACGGTCATTGAATTCATACCAGTTGCAATATCCACCACGCTCTCACGGCCTCGGGATGGCGGAATCACAGCCATCTTCCGATTCAAGCAGGGCTTCCCAAAACGAGCTCTCAAATAAGGAGGCCACCATTTTCGATGTACCATACTGTACGTTTCTTCGGGTGTCAGTAGTTCTCATCTAGTTTTAAGGATCTTCGATAGGATGATTATGATGATTTACAGTAATCTGGTCTCACATCTTGAAATGAATCACAAGTCAACATAAACTGCCAGTGTTATTCTGATCAGAAAAGTCCAGGCACTGGCGATGCGTTGGCATTCTTGTGCAGGGCGATCGCCCATCCAAATCACGATGTTTCGAAAGTTCTGCACCGCGACTGCCTCCCAAATGGAGAATGAGCTTCTGTGGCTAACTTCATCAACAACTCGGGTGCTTTATTAAACACAGGCTACGGCTAGATCGGCTAGGGCAGGATTCTCTGCAATGAGATTGATGGCTCCCAACAGCAGCTGCAATGTGTTTTCATGAATTGGGCACAATGAAAGAATGTTGCGGGAGCTCAAGACTGCCAAGTCAGATCCAAGGTTAGACCTAGTCCAGGATGTCACTATGACATCCTGGGAGATTTGACAAGTTCAATAAGTTCATACAGTTTCGATGATTGACCGTCAAACAGGGTGAAATTGCCATTGCTCAAGTTGCCTGACCTGCTACTGAAATGATGGGCGCGGGCCTCTCGAGACTTTGGTATATGCGTCAGGGATTCTGCAATGGTCACCTGGCAAATATCTGGCGATCAAAACATTCATTTGCTATTGAGCTGAATATGTGGATGTCTGCACGTTGTTAGTTTATGTTGCATTACATTACATCCATATATATATATATATATAATTGTATATATAATTGAAAAAAACTCTCGCAAATATCTGCCTCTAGGTTAGCATACCCAATGATCATACAATATCATACATAGAATCACGGCCAACGAAAGTGCACGTCAGGGCAATGTCGGATAATTTGGCACCATAATATGGAACAACAATCCCACAACTATCTCCCATTCAAATATACAGTGTATACAGGTATTAAAGTGCTCAGCCTTTCGGTGCATTTTAGGCACCTTGGAGTGTCCCAGCATAGTGCCGTTGAAGTCCACTTGCACGTGCTGCAGCAAGCTGTTTCGATGGCCTTTCCAGGTACCTGGCCAGGAGGACTATGGGACGTATGGGACAGTAGCCCCTGCACAGCTTTCCAGCCTTCGCTCTTCAGCTTGGAGAAGCTGCTCAAATCCCGGAAGGATTCACAGGCAACCCGCAGTTCTTCCACGTTGCTTACCTAGCAAGAAACAATATATACTGCTAAAATCCTGCCCAAAAAACCTGATTGCTGTCTCATGTTTATCATTGACGCAATGACTTCTTCTCAAACTAGAATGGCTGAGTTCCAAACATCCAAGACCGATTGTCGTCTAGATGGATCCGCATTTGAAGCAAAGCTCTTGGTTCTTTTTCGGGTTCCTTGCCTCAGTGCTGCTCACCGAGGCAGCAGCCCCAAGAACATCCAAGAACACCTCTGATATGAACATGGACCGACACCCATGAACCTAGAACCTACCTGGAACACTGCACAGCGTTTCACTTTGCTTTTTTTCCTGCCAGAGCAGACCTGTTCCTTTAGTGCTCCATGGATTGCTGCTGATCTTTGAACCTAGTGTCTGTGCTCCTCGTGCAGCTGCTCGGATTAGTTCAGCATCGCCATGCAAAATCCGGAGCTGGTGCGAGAGGTTCTGCAATTTTTGCCTTAGATTGAACTGCACAGCAGGATTAGACTGCCACGTCTTCCCGAACTCCAAATTCGTCCCAGCTGGGAATAGTGGGTGGCCGTCTTGATTCGTATGAAGTCAAACTGCAGTCTCCAATCTTCACTTTTCCGTTCAATCCATATATTCAAGGGCATTGGAACAAACAGAGCACAGTTTGGTTGGAGAACAGTTTGATTGTTGGTAACAACATGAACACTCAGAACCAGAAATATGATTCAGTAGATGCAAAGTGAAACTGTTCATCCAGGAATGATCCGACTGCCCATGAGTTTGATAGATGATAGAAGGATGCAGCTGGAGCACAAAGCATTTCGAGGGGGACATCGGCCCTGTCACCGTGGCAGCCAAATTGGTCACAGGGCGCACTGGTTGTCAGCTTGTACATGGCTAGATTGTCAGAAAATGGCAGAAAATGTCAGAAACAATCAAACCTGAGAAGGGAGGAACGAAAGCCAGCATCCCATCTACCCCTATTTTCCACCATACTTTTCACCCAGCGACTCTTCAATACATTTCACCCATATACTTTTCACCCAGAGATTTTTCACCCAGAAACTCTTCTTGCACAGACTTTTCACCCATATACTTTTCACAAAGAGACTCTTCACCCAATTTTTTTCTTGCACATACTTTTCGCCCATATACTTTTCACCCAGAGATTCTTCACCCAGAAACTCTTCTTGCACAGACTTTTCACCCAGAGACTCTTCACCCAGAAACTCTTCTTGTACATACTTTTCACCCATATATACTTTTTACCCAGACACTTCACCCAGAAACTCTTCTTGCACATACTTTTCACCCAGATACTTTTCACCCAGAGACTCTTCACCCAGAAACTCTTCTTGCACATACATGTCACCCATATACTTTTCACCCAGAGATTCTTCACCCAGAAACTCTTCTTGCACAGACTTTTCACCCAGAGACTCTTCACCAGAAACTCTTCGTGCACATACTTTTCACCCATATACTTTTTACCCATATACTTTTCACCCAGAGACTCTTCACCTAGAAACTCTTCTTGCACATACTTTTCACCCATATACTTTTCACCCAGAGACTCTTCTTGCACATACTTTTCACCCATATACTTTTTACCCAGAACTCTTCACCCAGAAACTCTTCTTGCACATACGTTTCACCCATATACTTTTCACCCAGAGACTCTTCACCCAGAAACTCTTCTTGCACATACTTTTCACCAATATACTTTTCACCCAGAAACTCTTCACCTAGAAACTTTTCTTGCACATATTTTTCACCCATATACTTTCACCCAGAAACTTTTCTTGCACATACTTTTTACCCATATACTTTTCACCCAGAGACTCTTCACCCAGAAACTCTTCTTGCACATACATTTCACCCATATACTTTTCACCCAGAGACTCTTCACCCAGAAACTCTTCTTGCACATCAGTTCACCCATACACTTTTCACCCAGAGACTCTTCACCCAGAAACTCTCCTTGCACAGACTTTTTACCCAGAGACTCTTCTTGCACATACTTTTCGCCCATATACTTTTTACCCAGAACTCTTCACCCAGAAACTCTTCTTGCACATACTTTTCACCCATATACTTTTCACCCAGAAACTCTTCACCCAGAAACTCTTCTTGCACATACTTTTCACCCATATACTTTTCACCCAGAGACTCTTCACCCAGAAACTCTTCTTGCACATACTTTTCACCCATATACTTTTCACCCAGAGACTCTTCACCCAGAAACTCTTCTTGCACATACTTTTCACCAATATACTTTTCACCCAGAGACTCTTCACCTAGAAACTTTTCTTGCACATATTTTTCACCCATATACTTTCACCCAGAGACTCTTCTTGCACCTACTTTTCACCCATATACTTTTCACCCAGAGACTCTTCACCCAGAAACTCTTCTTGCACATACTTTTCACCAATATACTGTTCACATCTTTTCACCCAGAGACTCTTCACCCAGAAACTCTTCTTGCACAGACTTTTCACCCAGAGACTCTTCACCCAGAAACTCTTCTTGATCAAACTTTTCACCCATATACTTTTCACCTAGAGACTCTTCACCCAGAAACTCTTCTTGCACATATAATGGTCCCACATCGGAGCCTCAATTTTACTTTTCACCCATATACTTTTTACCCATATACTTTTCACCCAGAGACTCTTCTTGCACATACTTTTCACCCATATACTTTTCACCCAGAGACTCTTCACCCAGAAACTCTTGCACATACTTTTCACCAATATACTTTTCACCCAGAGACTCTTCACCTAGAAACTTTTCTTGCACATATTTTTCACCCATATACTTTCACCCAGAAACTCTTCTTGCACATACTTTTCACCCATATACTTTTCACATCCCCTACTAGATTAAGTGGGGGGGTTGGGTGCCCCCATTTTATAGTACTAAAACGGGGGCACCCATCCCCCCCCGGAGTGGGACCTCTATAAAATGGAAACACCCAAGGTCACAAAACAGGTGCACCTCTATAAAATAAGAAAATTATTTGAAAAAGCAAATATTTACAGCTACAAATTTACTGCAAAACCCTCCATCACTATAAAATGGGAGGCCCCAACGTACCCTGGAGCCTAGCCTTAAAATGAAGGAACTAGCCAACTTTCTACTATAGAATAGGAACCCCCAACCCCCTGTATCTTACAACATCCAAAAATGAATGGTTTTTTGAGGGGTTGGGTGCTCTGATTTTATAGAGATTACATGCCCTTCCTGGTAGGATTTCCTGGGGTTGGGGGTTTCCATTTTATAGTGCCGCAGCCTTCCCACATCCTCCCACCATCATCGCCCCAAAGACACCACATTTTTCTTTAGCCCGGCACGTCCCAAAGCCAAGGGATGCTGACACAAAGACCAAGACTTATTTTCTGGTAGTTTTCCATTGGTCCCATGCTGTCCCATGTCCCAAAAGCCAAGGGATGTCGACAAAAAGACTGGTATCGACGGAGCTGGGTATTTTGGGGCAGCTGGGTATTTTTTTGGGTGGGATGGAGATAGTTTTCCATTTTATAGTGGTCCCATGCTGTCCTATGTCCTGTCGACAGAGCTGGGTATTTTTGGGGCAGCTGGGTATTTTAGGGTAGGATGGAAAAAAAAATCCATTTTATAGTGGTCCCATGCTGTCCCATGTCCCAAAAGCCAAGGGATGTCGACAAAAAGACCAAGCTGGGTATTTTGTTGTGTCGACAGAGCTGGGTACTTTTGGGGCAGCTGGGTGTCTAACGCTTACCCAAATGCACCTTCCACAATCCCTACAGTTGCACCGTATAAACGGTTTTCCTCGTTTCTTCCATGTTTTTTTTTCTGTGCTTCTACTCCATAGTGGTCACACATCGAAACAGCAAGTTTTCCATTGCTTTTCCATTGTTTCACGCATGCTTTACGCCGTAAACTTTACCAATAATGGTCCCACATCGGAGCCTCAATTTTACTTGGCATCATTTTACCCTCTCCCTATTCTTTCCACCGTTTCCATTGCTTTCCAATTTTTTTTTCCATTGTTTTATGTCAAAGTCCCTCCTTTTTTCCATTGTTGTTCTCATCATTTTCCCCTCCTTTCCCATTTTTTTCCCATTGTTGTCTGTCATATTCCCTCATTTTTTCTACTGTTTTTCTCATCATTTTCCCCTCCATTGCCAGCATCCCATCTACCCCTATTTTCCACCATACTTTTCACCCAGAGACTCTTCAATACATTTCACCCATATACTTTTCACCCAGAGATTCTTCACCCAGAAACTCTTCTTGCACAGACTTTTCACCCAGAGACTCTTCACCCAGAAACTCTTCGTGCACATACTTTTCACCCATATACTTTTCTTCTTGCACATACCACCCATATACTTTTCACCCAGAGACTCTTCACCCAGAAACTCTTCTTGCACATACTTTTCACCCATATACTTTTCACCCAGAGACTCTTCACCCAGAAACTCTTCTTGCACATCCTTTTCACCCATATACTTTTCACCCAGAGACTCTTCACCCAGAAACTCTTCTTGCACATACTTTTCACCCATATACTTTTCACCCAGAGACTCTTCACCTAGAAACTCTTCTTGCACATACCTTTCACCCATATACTTTTCACCCAGAGACTCTTCACCCAGAAACTCTTCTTGCTCATACTTTTCACCAATATACTTTTCACCCAGAGACTCTTCACCCAGAAACTCTTCTTGCACAGACTTTTCACCCAGAGACTCTTCACCCAGAAACTCTTCTTGCTCAAACTTTTCACCCATATACTTTTCACCTAGAGACTCTTCACCCAGAAACTCTTCATAGTGGTCACACATCGAAACAGCAAGTTTTCCATTGCTTTTCCATTGTTTCACGCATGCTTTACGCCGTAAACTTTACCAATAATGGTCCCACATCGGAGCCTCAATTTTACTTGGCATCATGTTACCCTCTCCCTATTCTTTCCACCGTTTCCATTGCTTTCCAATTTTTTTCCCATTGTTATATGTCAAAGTCCCTCCTTTTTTCCATTGTTGTTCTCATCATTTTCCCCTCCTTTCCCATTTTTTCCCATTGTTGTCTGTCATATTCCCTCATTTTTTCTATTGTTTTTCTCATCATTTTCCCCTCCATTGCCAGCATCCCATCTACCCCTATTTTCCACCATACTTTCCACCCAGAGACTCTTCAATACATTTCACCCATATACTTTTCACCCAGAGATTCTTCACCCAGAAACTCTTCTTGCACAGACTTTTCACCCAGAGACTCTTCACCCAGAAACTCTTCGTGCACATACTTTTCACCCATATACTTTTTACCCATATACTTTTCACCCAGAGACTTTTCACCTAGAAACTCTTCTTGCACATACTTTTCACCCATATACTTTTCACCCAGAGACTCTTCTTGCACATACTTTTCACCCATATACTTTTCACCCAGAGACTCTCCACCCAGAAACTCTTCTTGCACATACTTTTCACCAATATACTTTTCACCCAGAGACTCTTCCCCTAGAAACTTTTCTTGCACATATTTTTCACCCATATACTTTCACCCAAAGACTCTTCTTGCACCTACTTTTCACCCATATATTTTTCACCCAGAGACTCTTCACCCAGAAACTCTTCTTGCTCAAACTTTTCACCCATATACTTTTCACCTAGAGGCTCTTCACCCAGAAACTCTTACATATAATGGTCCCACATCGGAGCCTCAATTTTGCTTTTCACCCATATACTTTTTACCCATATACTTTTCACCCAGAGACTCTTCTTGCACATACTTTTCACCCAGAGACTCTTCACCCAGAAACTCTTCTTGCACATACTTTTCACCAATATACTTTTCACCCAGAGACTCTTCACCTAGAAACTTTTCTTGCACATTTTTCACCCATATACTTTCACCCAGAAACTCTTCTTGCACATACTTTTCACCCATATAGTTTTCACATCTTTTCACCCAGAGACTCTTCACCTAGAAACTCTTCTTGCACATACACTTATACTTTTCACCCAGAGATTCTTCACCCAGAAACTCTTCTTGCACATACTTTTCACCCAGAAACTCTTCTTGCACATACTTTTCACCCATATACTTTTTACCCAGAGAATACTTTTCACCCAGAGACTCTTCACCTAGAAACTCTTCTTGCACATACTTTTCACCCATATACTTTTCACCCAGAGACTCTGCACCCAGAAACCCTTCTTGCACATACTTTTCACCCATATACTTTTCACCCAGAGACTCTTCACCCAGAAACCTTCATTTTTTTCCAGTGCTTTTCCATAGTTTTGCTCGACATCATTTTCCCGCCCAGATCCACCTCGGAGGGCGGACCAGGGGGGAATCGATACCCCAACGTCACCCAATTGCCACCTGGTACATAACCCTAAAAAAGTTTACCTGCGTCCACCTTTTTTACCACCTATTTTCCGCATTTTTATCCCACTTCGGGCGCTCTGCCCCCAGACCCCCTTAACTCACTTTGTTCGCAAAAATAACTTCGCCTAGCCTAGCGGCTGGCTTTCGTGATCAATCAATAAAGACAGAGAGACCTCGTGAATAGCATCCCAACAAGGCGCCTTGATTTCCTCCAGGACCTGCTCCACCGTGCTTCGAAGGAAGGACTCATCTTGTAGGCGACACAGCAACTTGTGGTACTCCTTCGCCCGAGTCACATACCCTGAACATACGTGAAAATCAAGTTGATGCATATGATGCATGTTAATGGAAGGACATGGAAGGACATGCACCAAGTCCAGTTGACAAAGTGTCAGCGATCGCTGCTAGTTTCCTGCAGGTCGGCTTCATCAATGCCATTTCGCATCGCCTCAAAGAGATCCCGAGAAAGCATGTCGTGCAAGCCACTTAAAGCCCAATTGGAAACGTCACAACTCAACAGATTTCAACAGGAAGTATTTCATAAATCGGGGTTGCCATTACCGAGGGTATCATGTGCCCCAGGTTTTGCTGTACTACAAAAAGCCAGTACACAGCAAGGTGATCCTTACAATCCTTACAGAATAGGGCCTTACAAAACCTTTTGTAGGGATCACATGTTCTTGGCTATCTTGGCTTTTGTAAGAGAAATGGTACAGTATCCCCGATTTTCATAAAAGTTTCATAAAGTACAAGTACATCGCAGTTGTGGATCATGAGTGGCACCCTGGTTGACACCCCATATTGCTGGCGATTTCATGGTACCAAATACCAATCTTTTTCAGCCAGGTGTTTACACCTGGCAAACCCTTTGGAGTTGAACATTGAACAGCATCCAGGATATGTAGCAATATTTTTACAACAAACTCATACTCAATTCACCGTTAAATCATCATCATTAATCAAGATATGTAGACATATTTTCAAATGTATAACACATATATATATATATATGTATACTATCATTGCATCATAGTTCAGTTTCCCATCTACAGATACTTTTGGAAAATCTTCACAATTGCTGGAGAGCTTGCGGAACCTGCTCCAGCAGCTGCTCCATGATCACTGAATCCAACTCCTCCGCCGCCTGCTCCAGACTTGCCTGGAAGCTGTACTGTCAATGTTTTCTTTCATGACTGTCATCAGGATGAATAAATGTGTGTGTGTGTGTATTGTATGTTAATAACACTAACATACAATATCATACCGAATATCGTATATTAGACTATACCTATATATAATATGTAATCAATATGATATATATATAGAGAGAGAGAGAGATCCACCCACATGTTAAAATTCCAATATTAAGTTTTCTAGCGGGGTCACTATTGAATAAGGGAAGGGCTTCTCATGACAGCCATAAGGAGACACTGGGAACGTAAAAGGCATTTGGCATCATTTGGCAAATAAAAACATAGAACCAATGTAAGTGAAAGGATAGTTTGCCAACATTGATGGAGATACAAATGACATCAGTGGCGATTCAGTCACCTTGGGTGTTCCCCTTCCAATTGGATATCCCCCAAGTCCAAGGCTTTCAGCGAACGCCTGGAGTCCCCAGCTGTTTAGGATGTGACACTCTTGCGGCCAAAAAGCCAGTAGCTGCAGTTGCTGAGCATCACTGAATCCTCCAATCACAGACCCAGCCAACTAATCGTAACTAATCCGACTCTTTTTATCTCTTCATAGCCTTTTACTGGTATCTGTCTCTTTTTGCCAATACGCAGCTACTTGAAGGTCTTGAAGCACAGCTAAATTGTGGGTCCTGTGAAGGTCTGCCGTCGCGAGCTTCTTCTCGACATGCGGAATGGGGAGGGCCTCATTGGTCGTTTCCAAATCTGGACATCCGGGCGCACACTTCTTTAACTTTGCCTTCAATTTCTCTAGTAGTACAACACCACAGTTCTAGGCCATTGTTTTACAAGAGTACCTCCACACAAACGTGCACAAATTGTTGATGGCACTACAGCCAACATATTATGTAAAATTATGCGAACACATACCCTCCCTAAGCCTATCTAAGTCCGTGGCTTTTTCTCCACTGTCGATTCTTCTGCTGGCTGCGCTGGGGTCGGGGTCGGTGCTGTGGGCTCTTGCGGCTTGACTGGCTGAGTCTTTGCTGCAACTTGTTCCACCAAACCAGCCATGTCCAACTCGAGCAACCAACCTGGCCACAAATGGTGTAGCGAATCTGTGCAAATCTGGAAGCGCAGGGGTCGAGAACCAATCTGGAACATAGACAAAGCATGGTCTTATAAAAATATAGATATTGTCAATATTTATCAATCACTCTCTGTGTAAACCATGATTTACTGTCAACCTAGCAAATCCCACTCATTCTTGCAAGCCAAGTGGCTTTTCACTTGAAGATTCAGACCTTTCTTTTCAACCTGCGAGCCCGGTGTCGTTGCTGACAAATTGCTGATCCATTTCACAATCACTCACTTTGCAAAAAACTCAGGCGGCTGCCTCTGCTACAACTCTGGCAAGCGCGTCCGAATCTTCATCATTCACAGCAGATTGCAAGGCCTGCAGCGGAGAAGACAATGGGAGGGAAAGCGAAAAGCCAGGCGGCAGCAACTTGTACATGGGGTGATCATATGGGAATGTGCACAGTAGGTTGCCTGGCCTGCTTCAAGGGCATCTGCACTTGAAGTGCCTGTACCAGTTTGTTTTTTTTGATTGCATCGTATGCAATCGACGGAAACCGTTGCTGTAGAGCAGCCAATTCAAGACTTTATCTGTGCCAATGCCAAAAAATTACCCACATCCAAAATAACCAAGGAACCTTGCAACGGCTCCGTAGGTCCAATGTTAAGGGCGTCTTGGGCAACTTCAACCCTTCTGCCTTAGTGGAATGTGTGAACATCACCTAACCACACTCCACTTGACAAGGTTGCGACAAGGACGGACTCCTGGCACAAAACATCATCATCATCATCATAATCTTCTTCTTCATCATCATCTTCTTCATCTTTTTCATCATCTTCTTCATCACTTGCAAATAGCTCCAGCGACATATTGAACTAAGCACGCCCAATCACCTATCGAGCCTATCGACACTTAATCTCGCTCTCAAAAGCATGACTAGAGCAACTGCAGATTCTGCGCGGTCGGCTTCCGGTGAATTGACCCCAGCTGAGCATGTGGCCCTCGCCAAGGCCTTCTCGATCTCCATGGCATCGGTGCTTTTCTCCAAGCGTTCCATGTGTTCAACACATTGAAGCTCCTGACAGAAGCCCCTTGGATAATGTGTAAAATTGGATGTGTCAGGCTCAAACCACTTCCTACAACAAAAAAACATGATTATCTTTGCAGAAAACTTAAGATTGCAGACCAAGCCAAAGCTGCTGTGATTTTCCAAAACCTGTTGGTTCCGGCCTTCCGGCGTCTGGTTATCGGATACTCCCCGTGTCGAGATCTCAAGATTTTGGGTGTGAGACAGCAAGCAGTCCTTCGTCAAGCGCGCCGTGATGGCCTTCCAGGTTGACCCAGACGTTTGAAACGAAAGAAGCCCCCATTGCTGGAAGGGTTGCAGCGCCGCCTGTGCAGTCTCTCGTAGTCGCTGTGAGCTGGGATAGTTTGGCCTCAGGCTACAGAAATGGGCCAATCGTGGCAATTCAAAACTTTTGCATGCTGGGCATGCTGTGAACTGATGACCTCCACACGTCCTCTCTGTGTTGCTCTGAGAGTAGAACAATGCCGATTCTGCCTTCCGGAGTTCTGCCAAGAAGGCTTTGGCCTGACAAGCAAAATATCATAGTCAAATCTCAATCTGCGAAGCAACCTGGAGGCATTGTCGTATTTTAGAGATTCAGGTAGCAAGCTTTTTAGGGGGTTCTTTCACTGGCGACTTTCGACACTTGCCAATCGTTTGCATGTGCCCAGATAATTTTTGTGTAATCTTGTGTACGCTGAAAAAGTGTGGTAAAATAAATGCCAGTCACAAAAAGGGCAGTGCTGGACATGGTTATATATGGTTATATAGTCGGCACCAGTTCCATCAACCTCCCATCCCAGCAGCCTCTGACCCAAGCTTGTCGACCAAAACACCCAATCTGCATCCAGCACGTCAGTCCAGAAGCAGGTGCATGAAAAAAAGGGACATGTTTTGAAATGTCAACAGCATTCAATGACTCTATCAAATATTGAATACAGTATCAAGTACTGTAGACATTCCATGTGTTTATATATACGTATATATATATATACACATACACAAATGTATATATATAATATATATAATTATGTATTGTTGCTATATATATATGTATTGTTGTTATATACTGTTATATATCATATATCCATATGTTGCTTGCCGCTAAATCAAAATGTACACATGCAGTCTTCAGCAGGAACGTGCCGTACAGCAAAACGAAAACAAAAGAAGCAAACCCAAGAAACTTACCCGAAGGAGAAACTTTCACCATACGGGCCTCTCAACATTGGAGCTGTCATCCCAACCCACACGCCTGCAGGGTTGAGGCTCAGCAACTGACCCAAGGAATTATGTCTAGAGGAATTCGGAAGTATAGCAAGGAAGGCAATGTCTATGATTCAAGGTTCACAATCATTCGCAGCCTCTGTGGCAAAAACCCAGTGAAGAATTTGGGCAAGACAGATGTGTCATTGGGTCCCTCCCAATTCAAGAGTTGCAGCCAGACTTCACTGCGAGCGTCAGCTTCGTTGCTTTGTGTTACCGGGTTCTTCAAAAAAATCAGCCATCCACTTGAAACCGCAGAGATACTTTGCTTACCCCCGCAACCCCCAACTTCAATGTTGTGATCGGAAGTGCCGAGCATTATCAACAGAAATGGCTGTTTTTTTTTGAAGGCCGCCGAGCACAAAATTCAGAAGACAACATTGAATTGGACGGGGGGGACATGACCTCTATGGCGTGGTACTTCATGGGATGGCTGTTTTTTTTGAAGAACCCGGTATGTACAGCCCAATTTGTTCCATGGAAAGATCCAAAAGCCGTAACTTTTTTGGATTTCGTTTGGTCTAAAATGAAAATATGATAAACTCACAAAAGTGGAATTGATAATCCATAGTTTATATATATATATAAATTGCATGAACCCATACCTGCACGTGGCCAACAAAAAATGCTGCGAGTCATGTACCATCATCGTCCGCAGCTACCCAGGGGACCCAGGACCCTGCAGACCCGGTCGCCACTTGTTTAAGCACGGATCATTCTTACAGAACTTTTTTTGGTGATGGGTAAATGGTGGATCTGTAGTTGGCTCAAAACTATGGTCAACTGGAGGTGATTTTTTGGATACACCTCTCTTGTTCCATAGGTAAAACCAAACCAACTTACCTATCTAGAGGGGCCCTTCCTCTAGGACCTCAACTTTTCCGATCCAATTCCGCTCCGAACCTAGGTGAGACGCCGACGCTTGCGAGTTTCAATGACATCTGCAAGGCTAGCTCCTGGGTTCGCACGGCAGGCTGCGGCCAACAACTGTCCATCGGGTAAAACCACTCGAAGACTTTGGAGTGGAACCTTCAATTCATGCGCAATGTGCTTGTGAGTGTTCCAGGCAGGATCAGATGGACTTGCATTCAAGCGCATCACTTCGTCTCCAGTCAAACCAGAGAAAGTCAGCAGCATAGCATCAGCTTGGCAAGAACAATCTAGTTGCAACACAAAATTTCTACCAACTGACACATCTGCAGCGTACCAAGTCCCCGGAATCCCCGGATAAAGAGTCGGAATGTTGCATTGTCCTTGACCGTTCGCTCCGCAAGCCACAGCAACGCCATCACTTCTGAGAAGTACTGTGTGATGCTTGCCGACAGAAACCTGGGTATATGAAATTCCGTCATCCAATTGTGGAATGGTGCATTGTCCAAAATCATTCCTTCCGCAACCCACAGCATTGCCATCACTTCTGAGAAGTACTGTGTGATACACGCTTGAAGAAACCTGGATGTATGTCATTCCATCAGGTAACGGCGGAATGTTGCATTGTCCAAAATCATTCTTTCCGCAAGCCACAGCATCGCCATCACTTCTGAGAAGTACTGTGTGATACACGCTTGCAGAAACCTGGGTATATGTCATTCCATCAGGTAACGGCGGAATGTTGCATTCTCCAAAATCATTCTTTCCGCAAGCCACAGCGTTGCCATCGCTTCTAAGAAGTACTGTGTGAAAAATGCTTGCAGAAACCTGGGTGTATGTCATTCCATCAGGTAACGGTGGAATGTCGCATTGTCCAGAATCATCCATTCCGCAAACCACAGCAACGCCATCGCTTCTAAGAAGTACTGTGTGATACATGCCTGCAGAAACCTGGGTGTATGTCATTCCATCAGGTAACGGCGGAATGTCGCATTGTTCAAACCAATTCGTTCCGCAAGTCACAGCAACGTCATCACTCCTGAGAAGTACTGTATGAAGACTGCCTGCAGAAACCTGCATATATTTTATCCCGTCTTCCAAATGTGGAATGTCGCATTGTCCAAAGTCATTCCTTCCGCAAGCCACAGCATTGCCATCGCGTCTGAGGAGTACTGTGTGACCGGGGCCGGAAGAAACCATTGGGAGGTAGAGACTTGGCACCTAGTGGGCCAAACGAATGAGCCAAAACGGCTAAGAAAATATGCCGTCGTTGGTGTCTACCCTTCGAAGCAAGCGCAGCACACTCTAGGACAAACCTGTTCCTTCAATCTCGACCAGCCGACAACTTGTATGGAAACGTCCAAATTTCAACAGAGGAATTCGTGGGGTAAACAAATGGCAGTATAGCATAGTATAGCCACGAATAATGGCTACCAACAAACCAAGCATTACGTTGTTGATCCCAGATACCTGTGGCCTGCAAAAGAGTTTGTGAGCTCTTAAAATATGAAGAAACCATCTTTGGCAAATGCTCAAAGACCCTGCTTTTGTGACTGAAATCCCAGTTTCACTTGGTTGCATTCCAATTGTTGCTCTAGTTCGAAGTTCGTCACCAAATTTTGTTATGCAAATTCCCAGATTCAACCAGTTAAAGGTTGTTCTGTTCTTGCTGAAATGTTAATGTTTAGTTCTTAGTGGTTGAATCACCATTTTCTGTTGGTGAAATTCACGAACCCGGGAACGCGAAAAAAGTGGCTACAGCCCAGAAATTGGCAACTTATGAACCAAGGGCACTGTCTGGGATGCTCCCCATCTAACTCTTTGCAACCCAAAGTGGAGAGTGGGGCAACAAATCCCTCGTGGAGATACCGGGTTCTTCAAAAAAAACAGCCATCCACTTGAAACCGCAGAGATACCTTGCTTACCCCCGCAACCCCCAACTTCAATGTTGTGATCGGAAGTGCCGAGCATTATCAACAGAAATGGCTGTTTTTTTTGAAGGCCGCCGGGCACAAAATTCAGAAGACAACATTGAATTGGGGGACGGGGGGGACATGACCTCTATGGTGTGGTACTTCATGGGATGGCTGTTTTTTTTGAAGAACCCGGTATCTTGTGTGAAAGATTTGAAAGTGCTTTTAAAGGCCTCCAACATTTACAATGAGCAGTCACACCACTACTGGTACAGTGTATACAGTGTACACACATGTTCGTTTCTCATCCTTTTTCTAGCCCCGACTGGAAACGCAAAGCAGCTTGGTCCCAGGACAGATCTTGGCCCTTTGCTTGGATTTTGAGGTCCTAAAAGGTCATAGTCATAGTTTAAACCGTTTCAATTTGGGGTCAAGATTCAAGGTCCCCGCTCACAAGCGCAACATCTTTCAACACATTTGGTTTGGATCGATGGGGGAGAACAAATCCTTGCGCCTCAAGGACTCCTTCAACGCTTTGGTTGCTGGACGCGCAGCAGCGAAGTGCTTGCGCGCTTGCCTGGTTCCAGTTGTGGGTGAGATGAATGAAGAGCTTCTAGGCTCGTTGGGTAACTAAGCGGAAATCTGGATGGATAAGCTGCATGATTGATCTTCAGCTAAGCTACCAGGGCACCTGCGATTGGGGGACTCAATGGGACCGAATGCAGCTACTTACAGATACTTACAGCACCTGTGACGGTGTCACCTGGGGCCACGATGGGCCACGGATCCGCTGCCTGGATCTCATGACTGCCTGCAATCTCAGGGCCATATTGTAGCGCCTCAGCGCTTGGAAGGGCGCAAATGGTTGCAGTTTAAAGTTGATAAGATCGGGGGTCGGGGGTTGTGCCTTCTGGGGCATTTTCAAGGCCCTGGCGATGCGGCGAGCACTGCTTCCAGCTGGTCCAAAACAGATGCCTGCTTGTGCATCAGATCCAACTTTAAAATAAACACAAGCCGCATTTGGATGGAATGATTCTGCAAGTTAGCTGTAAGCTGTCCTTGAGGAAGACTTTTGTCTTGCCCACTTGCATTCCGCCAGCATCCAACTTGAGTTTCTCCATAAGGTGTTTCACCAAGTCCTCAAGAGAAACATCACATACAAATACGTTAATGAACTCACAAGAACCATGATTTGCAGCCTTGAACTATATATATCATATAGATACAATATATTCATATAAATATAATATATAACATAATATGTAATTATATATCATATCATATATATAGTTGTCAACCTGGGACGTGATGGTGATGATGGAAATGATGATGATGATGATGATGATGATGATGATGATGGTGCTGATGGTGATGAAGGAAATGATGGTGATAGTGATGATGGTGATGATGGTGCTGATGGTGCTGATGGTGATGATGGTGATGATGGTGATGATGGTGATGATGGTGATGATGGTGATGATGGTGATGATGGTGATGTTGTTCGGGAGGTCTCAAAGGTGAGCCGAGGGTCAGTGGCACTCAAAGTTTTGGTGTCAGCTGAAGCGATGCAACTATACCTGAAGCAAATTACTGACCGACTCTGTTAGGAGTGTGGTCTCACCTCTGGGAGTTTTTTCAGATCAAGCACAGCACAACATGCTTGTATGTGAGGACAGTAGATACAGTAGGCCGCGCAAAGAATGAGTACCTGAACATGTTCATCCTTTTTCTCACAAGCAGCATGCAAGGCCTACTGTAGTGATAGATGTCCGCAATGAAGGCCAATGGCACCAGAGTGTTGAGAGCCGTTGGTTGTTTGCTGTGATATTTGGATATTTGGAATTCCTGGTATAACTTCCTTTCTGACTCGATCCAAGTAATCAGTAATCAGCGAATTTGCCCAGGCGCTGCCGGCGAACCGCTTGAACAGAACAGAAAGCATGCTTGTACAGGAAAACACCCAACCACGCCTTTTGAGGAAGTCATCAAAAGATGCTCTTGAAGCAAAGCCTTTTTGACGAATTTGAACCTCAAGAGTCACTTGAACCATTGTTCAGCATCTCAACTTTACTGCAAAATTGCTATCAGGTTGCAGAAATCTGCATAAGGATGCAACAAATCATCAAATGTGTCACTTCCTGCAGTCGGAACTTGAGGCCAAGGCAGCCTCCAAAATACCGCTGAACAGCAGCTGTTCCAAGACCTGATGGGATATCAGTGAGGTGCTAAGATGGAAACACCGAAGGGACCACCAAGACGGACAAGTGATTGCGGTGGTGGTCAAACTCCAGACCACTCAAGACCTTGCTACGAATCCTTTTCCAGATTGCGCCAAAGAATTTCAGGGTCTGTGAGACTTCAGGAGAAATCTTCCAACAACCCCGCGTATAGTCCCCTGATTTTGATCCTGTTGACTGAATGTGTATACCTTGAATGGTTTGTGTGAAAGTCATGTTGAACCTGGCTCAAGTCCCGGGCCAAAGGAGAGTTAAACTTGTTTGGCACCTGCAGCAGCTTTCACCCTTCAACAGTTGCAAGCACCAGGTGTGGATCCTGCAGGATCCATCATGATCCATGGTGATCCACAGCATCCAATCGCCTTCTCTGTGTTGGGCTTGATGCATCGAACAAAGTGCGGATCTGAGACGTCAATTTTGCCGATCAATTGTCGCAAAGACAAGCGAAACCTGAGCTGTTTGAACATGTTTGAACCGTTTGATTTATGATAATCATGTGAATCATGTGTGGTTTTGAGAGGAGGCTTCATAGACAGCCATTGGTGGCAAAACATCCAATTCCGTGTCACAGATGCCAAGGCAGCTCTGGTGAGTCAAGCAACTTCGCAGATGTGGATTTGGGCTTTCTGCCACCACTTTTGCTCGCTTGGCTGGGCTGTACCTGCCAGCTATTCAATACGACATGCAAACATGTCTGGCGCAACACCGCTTCAAATCGGCGATGAAGTCATGGACTATATACAATTATATAAATACTCACCAGCGAGAACAGAAACGACTTGGAACATCTTGGAACATTATCTTGTGACTGAAGCACTTTTCAGAAACGGTGACGTCTGTCGTCAGACTTGCAGCCTCGGAGTCTTTGCCCAATTCCTTCAACAGTTCCAGCCTGTGAACTTTGATGAAGGCTGACAACACGACTATCTCCACAAATCCAAAGGGAAATCCAAATGGCAAAGAACAATACTGCAAGACATGAGTGCCTGCCAGGAACAGCAGTTATGTATTGTTATGTCTTCATCAAAGGTTTTTTGCCAACAAATCCAGATCTGCTGTAGGATCCCATTGTGGGAGGATGAAGGTAAAGCATATCCGGAAACGGACAGCATATGATAGCCCTATGGCAATATATTTAGCATATATATATATAATCATGTATATATATATATATCGATTTATAGCAATTTATAGCATCAGATTTTGCACTGATTGACTTTTGTGACTGAGAACCTGGCGATGACGACGGGATCAACTTGATGAAGTCTTCGGGAGGTTTGTCGACATTCTTTTGGAGGAACCCTTCACAGTTGTACATGACCTTTGTGAAGTTGCATGGCTGAAAGGCTCTCACCCATCAAATACATCCAGCAGTTTGATTCAAAATCACAACTATCGCAAAATACCGCAAAGTTGATGGGATTGGGATGGATTGGGCTTTTAATTCTTCAACCCTATCTGACCACAGATTTCCTTCAAAACGAGACCCTCTAGCCAGATTGAGACACTAGAGACACCAGAGTTTGCCATGTTTTTTTTGTGTCGTCCCTCTGGGACCATAACCTCTCCAGCGAAGTGCCTCACCTTGGTGAACCCCATCAGGTCGGGTATGTCGTTGCTTTCCCAGATTTCCCCAGGCTAAACAAGTTCCAATTCAGATCAATTCGGGTCAATTCGGATCACCCGGGCCAACTGGGAACCAAACTCCAAAGAGGAGCTTTCCACCCGTTTTTGGCTTCACAAGACGTGGATGTTGAGCCTGGCCTTGCGCTGCCAAGCTTTCAAGTGGATCGTGCTGTCTTAAGCAGTCAAAAAAGGTTCCTGTTTTGGGAGTGCTCTTGGGGTTCCAACATGTTCCTACCATGCTACAAGATCCACTTGCTTTGGAACCGTTTCTGTCTCATTGATTGGCACAATCTGCTATTCAACATAAATTCAAGAAGCGTTGGAGCTCCGGTAAAGAAACTATCCGTACATGTCGGCACTGTGTTCTTGATGGTTCTCAAGGAAGACTCGTCATACTCGTATCGAAGGAACAGATTCGTTTGTTGTATGCGGCCAGTAACATCACCAAAGGCCTGTCTTCACCTTGGATGCAAAGGACTCGTCCGACGCTTTGGGCATCACAACCTTGGTGAAGCGTTGGCTGGTCAGTCAAGTGTAGCTGCAAATCGAGCCACATCCTGCCAATTGCAAACGATGACAGTATCAATTCTTGCCCCCCCACCCAAATCAACCCAAATTCCGAAGAGCTGCAGCTTGGCGAAGATAGAAGATATTGGATGAGTCATCAGGTCCACAAGTTAGACCCCCTGCATAGGTCTAGAACTAAATCTCTTGGGCTCCTAACTTCCTCGTCGAGGACATCCAGAATGCCTGCACGGCCGTCCAAAAGCTGTAGAACCTGGCTGCGGGCTCAGATTACTGGCGTTGTATCCCACATGTGCGTTTGTGATGGAAACCCATCTTCATTGATTTGTGCACTGGATTTTGGGACAAACTTGACAGAAGTAGATCATGCGTGGATTTAACTTTCTACATGTACGGGGACCAAACCTGTGAGGGATTTAGGTCCTTTTTGGGGTAGCCCAGGCTTTATTGCCTGGTCTCAAAATCTGGCCTCTTTGTTGTCCACGAAGTTTACTTCGCAATCCAACGACAGACCTGTCAGAGACAAGGAACAGTAATTACTGGTCCCGTCCACCGAACATCACGAATTCAGTGTTTGACTCGGGGGAGAAGCTTTGCGGATATCCCAGCCTTCTTTTGCATAGTCTTCCAACTCAGAACGAAAGACCTTGTCGCAATGGCACAATCCATGTCACACTTCACCGACACCCTGCAAGTCATGCGTGAGCCAGTGCTTTCCAAGTTGCGAAATTGTTGAAGAACTGCTGCAGGTGTTCCTGTCAGGTTCTGTGAAGGCAATGGTTTCCTTGACCTGTGCTCTGTAAAGAAACTAAATGCAACTACAAGCAGCATTAGCCAGCTTTGTCCGGAACACATCGGAACACCACATCTCTGAAATTCATTTTCGAAGGGGTTCTCTGAGCTTTAACCACCAGTCCCCTTTGGCCACCAGAGGAACAAAGCTGGCGCCAGGCGCACGTTGCACAAGTTGATCAACAGCTGTTCCAAGGAGTTGTGCTCGAAACCTCCAGTCAATGATGGCACCAAAAGATTCAAACGTAGTCAACTGTTCCTAGTGTTCCTTGCAGGTTGCCAAGATTGTCTTTTGGTGATGCCCGTCAAATCCAAAACCCAGGCAAAAAACATTTTGTGATGATGTCCTTTTTGTATAGACAGCAAAGATCAGCAAAACCTTTTCTACGGTGCTTTCAAAAACACTAAGGAATGCACTCTCGAATCCAGCCTGGCCATGACATTCTTGCAAGTTGTGGCTGTTGCAACGATGTTGTCCACGGTTTAAGACCCGTCTCAAACACAAGGTACTAAATCAACATGTGGTATTTTTACATTTTTTTTGTTTTTTGGTGACTCAGTACCGGGCAGTCTCAACCCCAAATCAGCCCAGTTTCGGATTGAAATGTGGATTCTTCAAGGGACATCAAGGGACTATATCTTCTTACCGTCTTTGTCAACAACAAGGCTGGCGCACGATATCCAGGATACCAAGGGCTTGGGTCTCGGAGGTCCTTGAGTCACGCCATTGGTGAGTATGAATGGTGCCACGTGGCCAAATTAGTGGCCCATGATTTATTTAGGGATGATATGATCTACCTACAATATAAAGGTGTTGATGTACGCTGCTAACAAGGGAGACAAAGGCTTGAGGTTTCCGAAATTGCGATCATAACCTACCAGAAATGAAGGCCTCATCCCTTGCATGGTATTCTCAAGGGTTTGATGCTCAAGTAGATAAAGTCTTGAAGTTCCTGTAGCATCCTATGGCCAGTCCTAGCAAAGAGCATTTTGGGCCACCAAATGATGCAGGGAACGTTGCCCAATTATTCCGAGTCCTTGATTTACTGGAGGAATCCACCTGCAACAAAACCCAGGGAGGAATGTACACATCCTTGAAGATAGATCAAAGTTCTCACGCCTCACAATTTCATGGATGGTTCACTTGCAAGAAAATTGCTTTGTAAATCCTTGTAATCTTCAGCACAACTTGACCATCTTCAGGTCGTAAATCCCCGTGTGATAGCCTTGAGGGTCTGGTTTAACGATTCGACCGCCCAAACAAAGAGCTGCATATAGATGTACTTACCTCGGAAGCTGGGAAAAAAATGGTAAAACAGGGATGCTGGGACATCCCAGCGTTTATTGTTGGTTGTTATGGTTTTTAGGTTTATGTTCAATGTGTGTTCCTTGGTTTTGATGATTTACTGGGACATTGTTAGGGGTGGTTTAGGGTCTTAACTTTCACTGTTGATGTTTGGATTGAATGGGGGTAGGATTTGTTTAGACTGTTGGGGTTTTGTGTTTGGATTGAGATTTCATATGCCTAACATTCCAGTTTCATCATCTCCATTTCTCACAACTTTCGGTTGTTCCTTTCCCTTCAGTTTGGTTTGATGCTTGATGCTTTCTTCGTGCCTTTTGACTTGATATTTGTTTATTATGCTTCCACACACGGGACATTCAGTTTTCAATTCATTAGTGTTTTTCTTTTCCTCTGTTGTTTGTTCCTTTTTTCTTTGATGATACTGTATGGCATACTGTCTTAATTTGTCCCTGTTTTTCTCTCTGTATCGTTGCTTTGCTTCTAAACAGTTTTTACACTGCTTACATTCATCTCTGTAATAGTTTAAGCAACTAATTCGACATCTTTGAACAACAGCTTGGTAGAATTTGAACCTGAACCTACACATAGAAACTCTGACCACCTCAACAATTATCCCCTTCATTCAATCCAAACATTATCACAACAACCTCAACAACACATTTAGCAAGATAATCAAAAAGAAACAGTCAAACATTTCAAACTATAACGTGAAGAAAAAACAAAGCAACATCCCACCTGACCTTTAACCTGTCTAGTCCTAGCATCCCTGTTTTACCATTTTTTTCTGGGACATCGATCCACTTTCCAGTCCGAAAACTTTCCCAGTGGCAACCGGCATGTGAATGCGTGTCAATCTGCCGAGATTCTTAGGCACCCCAGGTGTAAGGACAGTTTTGCCATGTTTCTCCGATATTTTTTCCCAACATTTGTGGCTTTTGGACGGGCCAACTCGATCCAACTGCTGTTCCAAGCTGCTCAAGCTGTCGCGGGCTGCGTTGGCCTGCTCTCCGCGTTGAGGCGTTTCCACCAGGTCTTTGCCCACAGTGATCTTTCGGACCAGCATGCACTTCTTCAAATCCTCCGTGGGCGATGGCACACAGCATACATCAAAGCCGCTTGTGTGCTTGGTAAAGAAATGTAAACAATACATTTTTATCATGAATATAATACAATGTGTTTAATTTTTATTTTTTATTCTTTTTAATAATATATTATGCATTCGCGGTTCTCCGCAGCAGGTTTTCACAATGTAAGATCATACGGTTGGATTCTGAGATTTGACTCGTTTTTCGATGTTTTTCGGACCCCGAAACACTCGAAATATGGGCACTCTACAACTCTCAGAAACTGGCCTCAATTTGCAAACCAAGCATGCGAGCTGCTTGCTGCACAGGCCTTTCGTCTTCAAACTTCACCCTTGGGTGCCACAGCATGGTGTCATATGCTGTCTCATCCATTGATGGTTTTCTGGTGGTTCATGGTGGTTCATGGTGGTTCATGGTGGTTCATGGTGGTTCATGGTGGTTCATGGTGGTTCGGGCAATCCTGAGGCCACAGGCCCTTCATGGTGAGCCTCACTGGAGAACCGACCTTGGTCTATCTTGACCGATCCAAAGCAAAGGGGTTACTCGGTTACTTGGATGAAGACCTCGTTGGGAAGGGCAAGATCCCAAAGAATGGAGACAGCACCAGGTTCTTTACACATCTTTACACTGTATATCAATAATATACATAATATATATATATATATATTATTGATACATGTATATAATACGTATCATATCTATCTCTGAAACGGAAATCCACCTCTGGGACTCAAACAATTTCCGAGCCACAGAACCTGAGGCCAAAAGTCACAGAATATCTGAAAAAATCACGCGTCTCATGCATTCATTATGCATTCATTATGCATTCATTATGCATTCATTATGCATTCATTATGCATTCATTATGCATTAGTTATGCATTCATTATGCATTCATTATGCATTCATTATGCATTCATTATGCATTCATGATATTCATGATATTCATGTATTATGAGGATTGTGATGTGTCGATTTCCTATGAACATGATCTAGGTATATCTAGGTAATGCTCTGAGAAAAGGCATCAGAATGTTCTGAGAACGGAGCAGCGGATAGGATTTGCCACATCTGAGCCTCCCAGCAAGAAGTCTATTGCACCAGCCAAATTGAGACGCAAAGCTGGAAACTGTTGTGTGGTTGGGGTTCTGAACTTTTATCATCGTTTATCAAACATATTCAAAAATCATCAACTTTTGAAGTTGTTAAAACTCTCTTGATTCTCTTGATCTTGAGTGGGATGTGTTCAGACCACTGACGAACTGTTGCAACGTCCGCAGGACTCCGGTTGCCTGCGTGCTCTTACCGATGCCCAAGGCGTCCAGTGCCTGGCAATGTGATCTCCAAAACAATGGCAGTAGAAAAGGCTGGTGTCCACACACACAAATGTGACTAGACTAGACTGTATCAATATTCCAAATACTTATAATATAGTGTGTATATATATATATGTGTGTGACATATTATCATCATATTTATATACATATGATTAATATATTTAACATATTTATCTATAACATAGCAATGTATTAGGCAAATTATGCACAGCATTACATTGTCATGGCATTGCAAGTATGTTTCCCTCGCACCTCCTGCTCTGGAAATAAAATGCACAAGATCACATTGCTAGGATTGGGGCCTTCAAGCTTTCTGTTTTGGTGCCCCATTTTGCATATGGGTGATTCTTCCTACTGCGTCCATCATATTGATTTTTACATATCTTTACCTTCTACAACTTGGACTTTGCCAAACACCTCCCGGGCCTCTTTTAATTCTTCAAAGGCTTGAAGGTCATCAATTCCAGGTACAGTCTCAGTTGAGCCAGTGGATGACCAGGATCCAGGATTTATTCGGCAACGGTGCAAACAAGCAGCCAGTTCGCCACAGCGTGTGTAAGCGTAGCCTGAGCACAGAAGATGATCGTTTTGTTCTGGCGATAAGGAAGTGGGCCGGGAGGGAATGACATGTCAATATCTATTCCCAAAATGTCCAAATATGTCCAAATGAATGGACCAATGCTGCTTTTTTCAAGGAACATGGATGGTCCTGATCATATTTGCCAGTTTTAGGATCTGAGAAGCTTGACATGGATGCTGAAGCTCGCACTTTCTGGCCCCTCCAGTTCCAAATCCTTCAGCAATGGCCTAGGCAGGCAGCATGGCTGTTTGGAGTGGAGATTTTATTCAGCACACCATCAACCCATCAACCAAGCTTCAAACAGTGATGTGCAACTGTCAACCTGCCCAAACAGTGAAGCTTCCATCTGAGTTCGTCGCGATTGTCTAGCCTCGCCCAAGAGCCGACTAAAGTCACAGGGATAATTCCGAAAGAACTTGCATCACACCAGCAGGGTTTATCTCAGATTCGTTTAACAAGTTTATAAAAATTGATCAGCCTGAAAATAAAAAATGAATGGTTTGTCCAAGAGTCTTGGAATTAAAGTCTGTAGATGGCATCTATGGCAGCTCAGGCTGATTATCAGCTTCAACGAAAAACACGCCCAACAAGACCTGCAACAGCTGGAAGAAGATGTGATAAGATCGCTCGCCCTTGGCCACACTGCAAATGCGTGTGTCCTGGCGGCTAGGACCCTGTGGGAGGCTGAACATGGGGTCGAAACGTCCCAAGCGTCTTGAGGTGAAGCCACAAAGAAACCCAAAACAACACCACGACATACCACGACCATGTAGAATGACTGCTGGAAACATATGGAAACATGGCCTCCAGCAAATATTGCTGCACTTCGCACCTTAGTAATGCAACAAATCAATGAGGACGGGTCCCTTGAGTTTTGTGAGTGCAACAAGTGCACCGCAGTCGGTCAAGCTCTGAGGACATCACCCTACCAGTCGGCCATCCTGCGTGTGGAAATTCAGCCACTTGACAAACCTGCAACCAGGAAGCTCTAAATGGACTAAATGGAGAGAAACACAGGTTTTTTTCAGGCATGAACTGCTATCCATCACCTCAACACCTTGGCACCCGGCACAAGCTGTCGGAGAAATTTCATAAAATTGAATAATGTTGACATAGCTTGCAAATTCCTTGCGTACCCCCGCGGAACCAGGCTTCCAGCCTCGAGGAGTTGTTGTTGCGGACTGTCATGGCCTTGGTAGCAACTTGGATGATTTTATGCATAGTGATCAATCCCCCAGAAATGGATAGAAATGGTAGCGTACGTGGCCTTTCACAATCATTGTTATTGGATGTTATTGGCCTGCTGGATTTCAACATATTTCAACTGTCCTTCATCCGTGCGCCGACACGAGCAAGTTGGCGTGAGTGCAAACAAACGAAACAAATATCTAATCCGCCACCAAACCTTACACGTCCAAAAAAGTCAGCGCCACACGTTGCCAAAGGCCTCCATGATAGGATTCGTCCGCAGCACCTGCAAGCAACAAGTTTGCCTGGGAAACAAGTGACCATGTCTGAATTGGTTCGTTTGGAAAAAGATAGGAAAAAGACCTTTCGCATCGCAAGAAATCAAGAATGACGAAGAAGGCGCAAATCAATGCAATTTAATTGCAACTTATATAACTTATATAACTTATATAACTTATATAACTTATATAACTTATATAACTTATATAACTTATATAACTTATATAACTTATATATAACTTATATAACTTATATATAATATATTCTCTCAGCTGATGATCGTGGATATAGTAGTTCAGTCATTCTCCAAGTTTCCCACCATCTACTGACTCTATCAATCAGGCAAGGCCACAGCCATTCTTGGCACCTTCTCCTCGAAACTTTGGGTTTGCCTTGGCTCGCCAGGCACCAGTACATAGTTGCCTTGAAGTCCTGGAAAGTCGCCATAAGTCGCTTTGAGCCTTCAACATCGCTTCATGAAGTTGGCAGTACCACTAAGTCTCAAGCTCTTGGCTGTCGCTTTTGGTGGCCTTTCACAATGCCAGGAAAATTCACAAGTTGGGATAGTGCCACCAGATTTCACGAACGCCACCCTCTGTGTTCACAGCCAGGTTTCATACATACCAGATTTAGATAAGCTGTTCAGAACTACATGTCTAGTAGTTTCTTCTCGATACACAAATCAGGACTGGAGAGGTAAAGTACCCCAAACATCCCAAACATCCCAAACCCGTAAACTGGCAATTGTATGCAATTGTTAGTCTAGTACATGTTGCAGTCCATTTTTGGACAAACCCATCTACCATCCACATCCACCATGTTTTCAACAGCCAGCCGTATAGCCTCTGCTATGAAGGACATGATGAGTTTGGCTGATTCTGTCTTACCAGCTCCTGACCTTGGTCCAGAAAATGGGTGCAGAGATGTTCGTTTTCCAGTAAAAAAAACAGGAAGGACAAACCGTCAAAGCATCACTGGGAGGCAAACCAATCAAATTATTTTTGCATCATGTTTTTGCCAGCGGGGGGAAAACCGCGCCAACGTTTTAACCGTTTTTGAAAACACACAGATTTTATCCGTAGCATGCACATCTTACGTTACGTCACTGGGTTGGGTTGGTGGGGGATGTTAACGTTCACGTTAACTTGCGTCACATGCACATCTTAGGTTACGTCACTGGGTTGGGGGGTGGGGGATGTTAACGTTCACGTTAACTTGCGTCGCATGCACATCTTAGGTTACGTCATGGGTTGGGGGGGTGGGGGATGTTAACGTTCATGTGAACTTGCGTCACATGCACATCTTACATTACGTCACTGGGTTGGGGGGGGTGGGGCATGTGTAATATTCATGTTAACTTGCGTCACATGACACTCTTACGTTACGTCACTGGGTTGGGGGGGTGGGAGATGTTAACGTTTCATGTTAACTTGCGTCACATGCACATCTTACGTTACGTCACTGGGTTGGGGGGGGTGGGGGCATGTTAACGTTCATGTTAACTTGCGTCACATGCACATCTTACGTTACGTCACTGGGTTGGGGGGGTGGGGCATGTTAACGTTCATGTTAACTTGCGTCACATGCACATCTTACGTTACGTCACTGGGTTGGGGGGGTGGGGCATGTTAAAACTTCAGTTAACTTGCGTCACATGCACATCTTCGTTACTCACTGGGTTGGGGGGGGTGGGGGAGGTTAACGTCACACATGCACATCTTACGTTACGTCACTGGGTTGGGGGGGTGGGGCATGTTAACGTTCATGTTAACTTGCGTCACATGCACATCTTACGTTACGTCACTGGGTTGGGGGGGGGGGGCATGTTAACGTTCATGTTAACTTGCGTCACCACATCTTACGTTACGTCATGGTTATGTAACTTCATGTAACTTGCGTCACATGCACATCTTAGGTTACGTCACTGGGTTGGGGGGGGGGGATGTTAACGTTCATGTGAACTTGCGTCACATGCACATCTTAGTTACGTCACTGGGTTGGGGGGGTGGGGGATGTTAACGTTCATGTTAACTTGCGTCACATGCACATCTTACGTTACGTCACTGGGTTGGGGGGGGGGGGGATGTTAACGGGCGTCACATGCACATCTTACGGAAGTCACGGTTGGGGGTGGGGCATGTTCACGTTATGTGAACTTGCGTCACATGCACATCTTACTTTACGTCACTGGGTTGGGGGGTGGGGCATGTTAACGTTCATGTTAACTTGCGTCACATGCGCATCTTACGTTACGTCACTGGGTTGGAGGGGTGGGGGATGTTAACATTCATGTTAACTTGCGTCACATGCACATCTTACGTTACGTCACTGGGTTGGGGGGGTGGGGCATGTTAACGTTCATGTTAACTTGCGTCACATGCACATCTTATGTTACGTCACTGGGTTGGTGTTGGATGAACTCCAAGACGAAAAGTCTTATGGAGGTCACAGGTCGAGCCTTGAAAGACCGTGTAGCAATGTGAGTTGGAAAAAAAGACCCGGCGAGTTTTCAGGAACAAATTCCCTGTAATTTACAGGTTATCGTTTAAAACACACTTCAAAATCCCGGGGAAATTTGAGCCAATTTTGGGGCATGAATCAGTAGTTTCGCTATGGCAAAAACGACATTTTTTAAAAAAACCCTCAAAACGCTGGCGCGGTTTCCCCCCCGGCGGGATGTTTTTGTACATATATTTGCATCATGTGTTCAAATGTTTTCAAACAGCACCTGGCTGACCTCTGCTGATGCCGCCAGCTCAGTCCCTGGCTCTCCATTGATGACGATGGCCTAGCCCACGAGTTGGTAACCAGTGGCCAGGGGAGGATTGGTCAGTTGTATTAGGATGTGTATCCATATATGAATATTAATCATTGAAATTTATTGTAATATATGTACATATATATATTATAAGTATATATTATATTATATTATATTATATTATATTATATTGTATTATATTATATTATATTATATTATTATTATTATTATTATATTATTATTATTACATTATTATTATATTTTATTATATTATATTGTATTATATTGTATTATATTACATTATATTATATTACATTATATATATATATATGTATACACATATTATATTATATTATATTATATTATATTATATTATATTATTATATTATATTACTATATTATATTACTATATTATATTACTATATTATATTACTATATTATATTATATTATACTATATTATATTATACTATATTATATTATATTACATTATACTACATCATATTATATTATATTATATTATATTATATTATATTATATTATATTATATTATATATATTATATATATTATATTATATTATATTATATAATCTTATATAATATAAGATAATATAATATAATTTGATATAATAGATTATATTATACTATATTATACAAAATTGGTATAAATTAGTTTCATATTGTGTATTTTTCATGGGTGTATCGTATGAATGTACTCAAACATGATTGAACATATCATCATGCATTTCACGACCTCCGACCTGGATTGTCGTCCTCAACTATTCCCTTTTTTCCCTACCTGAAACAAGCCCTTAAAATAACCAGGACCAGCACCCAGTCGGATGAGTGTTTCAGCCGGTTTCAGCTAGGACAATGACAAATGACGGGCAACCGATTTTCACAATTTGGGGTATCAGTGATTGTTAATGTTCATTCTTACTTGCCCGTTCTTGAAAGTGGCCCTAGGACTATATAGTCCCCAAATTCAAAAAAAAAATGCAGGCCCCAAATAGAAGGCTCCCAACTCAGTGTGATTCCCAAGCAAACAAACCATGAAACAATGGATCTGGGGGTCCTCTACTGCGACATCTCGGACCCATCACCAACAAGCCTGGTGTCGCCGCGAGGTTCGAAGATTGGACCTTGAAGCCAAACATGAGTACCATGGTACCAGAGGTGCATGTCAGTGGTGTGTGGGTTTCTGTGCCATGGGTACCTGATGCCAAATGTTCGTACTTTGTCACAAGATTAGAGTATACAAGTTGTAGTTATAAGTTATATTAAACAATTGCCATGACGTGACGTGTGTGAAATGAGCTTCCTTTTCCATATTATAGAAGTTAGATACAAATAGCAAATATGGAAATTTCATGAAATCTTTGTAATGGACTCAACTTTGACCCAACTGCCACAATGCTCGGGTCGCTGGCATGGCATCTGCTGCAATCGAAAAAATGTGTGGCGGAAGAGCCTCACTCAGAACTTGGATTGGGAGATCTTAGGACGTCACTCTGCTCACTCTGCTGTTGATTATTGATGAGTTATTGATGAGTTATTGATGAGCATAAATCCTCTATGAAACGCCCACTGAGGCATGGACCCGAACTTCAGATGCAAACCTGGCTTGGAGCGGCCCAGCTGGGTCGATATTCAATGGACGAGGCTCGGCCAAAAATACTGTTCCAACATGTTCCAACGGGCCATCTCTGGAGTCAACACAGAGGGGACAGAGCGACTAAAAGACCAAAGCAATCCGAAGCATACAAAAGCCACGAAACGGCATTTTTTGGAGGTCGTCGCGAATAAACTGGGTACAAAACACGTTCAAACTGGGATGCCTTCGGGGTAGTACATACACGCTATATAGATCTAGCTAGAAACCCAGACCCCTTAGATCACCACCCAACTGTATCTCACCATGTCTGCTTAGTCCTGCCTGTATTGGTCCAACACTTGGGAGGAGTACAAGGGCAGCACCTGACATCTTAACAATTGGCACAATTGGAAGCGCTGATGGATTTCCGCACCTGGAAGGGGTTTACTGCCAAAAGAATGCGAGACACCCAGGTGTAGACCAACTGCTTGGAAAAACGCACCTCAGTGAGTCGCAGCGAGTCGCGGAGAGTCAGAAAACATGCGACCAACGCAATTTCTGCAGGGTCAAAGAAAGCTGACTGTGATTGACTGTGTGGATGGGTACAAAACATGCGAAACATGGTACAACGGGGGTACAACCCTTCTGCTGTTGCGCTTGAGTCAGCTGGATGTGGTTCTAGTCTACTTCGCACCTAAGGCAGCAACTCGAATCGTATGCAGCAATGCAGCTTTGGTCACTGTGTCGAGCAGGCAAACGTCCTCCTCACCCACCACCTGCACACAATGGTTTGAGGTTCACTGGATCCTCAATAGGCCATGATTAGGCCAGGCTATCTGAGATAAACTGTTTTGATCTCCCACAACTTCCACTAGTTCTTAAAGTATGCAGTCGGCAGCCACCGCCTGCTGCTGGTGAACTTCTTCCAAATCATTGACGCCGACGGCCGGGATCTCCAGGGCCTGCCAAGTGTCTTGAGTGAAATGCAATTGGGAAGCACTGAGGCCTTCACACATCTCATCTGTTCAGATTTGGAAGGAGCAGAAAAACTGCGTGCACCGAAACCCATCAGAGGGTCTCTACAAGAACATCCTGTTTGTAGGTAATCCATCCCCGAATTTCTGGAGTATCGCAGATAGACATCAGCCAAGTGTAGGATGGACTGCGCTTGTAGCTGGCCTCTCCTTCTTCTGTCCCAAACCTAGTGCGGCGATTGGTACGGCAAACATCACCAGGGGGACCCAGGGCAACGGACTTAGCTGGCAGTCAGCCCCCAAGAAAGGGGAATAAACAGTAAAAGTGAAGGAGACATAAGATAACAAACAATTTTGACAATATGCTTTATTCATCTTTATGCTACAAGCAGAAAAATGACGATACAAAACTATACAAAACTAATATAGTAGTACAAACAACACAAAGAAGAAGAGATGGAAAATCCTCCAACTTGGAAGCCCGCTTTGATCTTTGGATTTGCGAATTCCTTATCCTGAAGAGATCCATCAGCCGGAGAATGACTGAGCCCCTTGCGTGGCAATGCCATCGATGCTATCATGCAACCAACATGGAGCCCAAACCTGGCTGTCCATGTGATCTATGAGACAGGTGTTAGTACCTTTTGTTGGAAAAAAGGATGGGGCCGACTTACCGCAACGATTGCGCATGACTGTCTATCTCTCCAATATATTCTTACAAGAAACAACTTCAACCAGGGCAGTGCACGACTGCCATCTTGGCGTGCAAGACGATGCAGCAAAGTGTTGACATGCGCATATTTTGACAGCGTTTGCCACTGGCGACATCGTTGCAGCGCGGTCATGGGAATGACGCCCTTGCAGGCTGTCTGCTCGGTATTAAAAAACTGCTTCAAGGACCTTTGCCTTTTCCACAGCGCAGAAGTCAATCATTGTTCAAAGAAGCGGTCAATCTCCAGCTCTAGCAGCCGCGCAGTTTCAACACCAAGTGAACTGTGCTCAAATCTGTAATATTGTAATCCTGGAGGGAGCGGGCATCTTCCATGTGCCGCCCTGCAAAGATGAGTGCTTGCTGGTCAGGAGGTGCTCCATCTGCATCACATATCATTCCCTTCAGGCCGGATCCATCCTTACACAGCTCTTGGTCCCTTTCCCAGAGCGCTGGCATAGGCCAGAATCGACTGGGTGGCCCTTTTCCAAATAGTTTTGAGTACTTCTTGAACGTCAGCGAATATCGTTCTGGTTCTGGTCGTCAGATCTTGGATCGTGGCATATCATTTCATTCACCAGGCGCATGCAAAGCTAGCATGCCATACCTGATCAACATACCAACTGGGCGATAGCAGGGCTCCACAGCTTGCAGCTTTTGTCCTGACGCGCTTGGTAGGAGGTTCTGCAGCCAGCCTTGGCGCTGCAGTGTCGCCATTCAATGCTTTCAAAATGAAGAAGCGACTGGCTTCAATCAGCAGCTCATCCAAGGATGCGTTGGAGTCGATGTGGACCGAGTCAGCTTTTTGGTAGCAGCTGATCTCGCCAGTTTTAATCACTTTCTTCTCTAAATACTCCCTGACCGCTAGACCATCTGGGCTCTGCCAAAACCGAGACATTTCCTCGGCCGCAGCTTTGACCAACACTGAAGCTGCTTCGCCTTGAATCTTTGCAACTGTGATCCCTTTACCTCCACAGAGAGTGAAGAGTGGGATGGAAGGAACTGGGCCTACCTTTGTTGTTGGCTCAACATTCAAAGTAATAGTTTTGCCTGTCAATGTCTTCGCGAATATCCGCATGAGCTGACCTGCGCCAGAACTGCTGCTGGCAGTGGCACAAGGTGCTAATCAAGCCATGTAGAGCTACTGCGGGCAGAACAAATTTGAGATTGAGATCCATTAATGTTCATGACATGTTAATCCTGGAATGACCAGGATGGCAGCCTTGAATTTGTTGTTTGCATGGTGTTTCCCGGCTCAAAGAGCACAGTATGCTGCCTATGAGCCAGCCGGCCACATCAGCACAGAGAAATTTCATGGAAATTCCAAAATAAAGCAAAAACTATATCATGACTGAACAATCCTGAATGACCCTCCCTGATTCGTACATTGGAGACGACAACGAAGTCAAACCACGGAAGCGTCATTGACTCATGCTGCACAAATAGTTCTATGATGTTCCATTCGCTGTGACAGGGTTTATCAATGGCGACAAGTACTTGGGGTGATAACAGTGATAACCCAATGATATCCAATGATCTCAAATACAAGCAGCGCCAGCCCTTGGATCCCTTGGCCAAATGTCAGGAGATCGTTACAGATTGCCATGATTCCCCCAACCTGGTCTGGATGTGGCACCCAAAGGCGTCGCATGTACACCGCCTGGCCGGGCAGCTGTGTCAGGCTGTGTCAGGCTGTGTCAGGCTGTGTCAGGCTGTGTCAGGCTGTGTCAGGCTGTGTCAGGCTGTGTCTTTCTCCCACTGTGTAGCTCACAACTGGCTGACGGCTGCGATCTTGGGAGTGTCATGGGTAAAAATATGTAAAAATCGAGGTGTCTATCTGCCAACATCAACAACCTCAACAACCTCAACAAGTTTGACATATTGAATATTATTGAATGTTGCAAGAACTGGGCGCCTCACACATTCATACCCATTTGGGATCCAAATTGCACAACCAACAGTACTTCCGCTTTCTTGTATCCTTTTACTTTTACACATTCACTAGATTTCACGAGTCTGTGTTTTTTCAATGCCCGGGTACTGCTGGCCAATAACAAGCTTTAAGGAAATAATTAGGAAACTCCCTCGATCCGATTTGAGGCTCAGACTGCCCCACATGGATCAGCCGGCACTACCCGGGTTCGGTCGTATACTTCCCATGGGCCCGAGCTACGTCATCGAAGACTTGTCACAGGTGGTGGTTCTGAGGATAATTTCAAGAACAGCCGTTTCACATGCTCCCAGATTGATGCTCAAGGAGGTTGAGGTCTTGTGTAAATTGAGATCAAAACTGAATGCACAACGCGCGGTATGTTGGGTCACATGACTTGGTGATGGCTGCTTGGTATGCCCCCTGCATGTTGCCGCAGGGGAGTTGGGAGCTTGGATTGTTGAATGCTCGGCAGGTTTCAGGGTGACAAGGGGTTGGTGGGCCCAGCTGATATCATTTGTGACTTGTGTTTCAAATTTCTCTGAAAGCCGAATGACTGCAGTCGCAAACATGATCTTGATCAACGAGAGTGTGCTCTTTCCTGCATCTAAGCTGCTCGAGATCATGGCTGAGCCAATGTCCTGGATTCCCTGGATGTTCAGCCGTGATGCTTCAACGCTTTTGATTTCGGGTGAGCTTCAACGCTTCGGTGCAAGTCCCGAGCATGGGCTCTGTGGCTGATGCAGGAGGTACAACATGATACAATCTGGACATGGAAATCTATGGAAGTCTAATATCCAACAGTGAAATAAACAAAATAAACATGTACGAGTAGATCATGTAGCCGATGTCAACCATCTCGATTCTGCTGAACCTAAATCCCATGCTGAACCTAAATCTTGCCTATCTTGCCTTCAGCTGCCTTCTCGGGGACGATTTCTGCGGAAACAGTGCTATGTGCTATTGCTATTCACAAAAAATAGTGCTGAGACAAGCAGCAAGCAGTGCATTTCAATCATTTCAGCACTTAAATGTGCCGGGGCTTGAACATCAGCTCGAAATTGGTGTCTTTAGAATGGAAGCATGCCCAACAATTCATGACGATGGATTCCACTCCTAAATGATATTTCGTGACAGAGTATCCACGTGATCCACGTGCCATTTCGATTTGATGACTCTGCTTGTCTCATCCAGGCGAAATTAAGCTCACGAAAAGGCCCAGGAGCACAGGACCGACCGTGCTCTCGAGCGTTAAAAGAATGGAGCATCGCTCCACTTCGAGTGATGTGGTGCGTATCACCTCCAAGTCTAAGAATCTACGCCGTAGAACTTAGAACCAGCACAAACAAATTGCAGAACAGCAAGATTTGGTAGAGAGATGGTATCAATAGGCAGGATTATATACTATTATAGGTTTAATAGATGGGAATTACTAGATGAGATCAATATATTAAATTCATGGATAGATAGATCGATATATCGATAGCCATGTTACACATATTATACATTCAATACATAGATATGATACAATACAAACACACACGCAATCACGTTATTATTAATTCAAATGAAGTATATAAAACATGATTACAGCCCTTTATAATATACGACTATAAAATACGATATATCATGATATATATATATAATACTAATAATAAGTAATAATAATATCAAATAGTATCTTATAACTTATAACATTAGATAATAGAGTATGTATTATTTCGCATGTTGCTCTAATATGTTGGGCTTTGTGTCGCCTTGACTTTGGGATTCGTGTCACCATGTGTCACCTTAACTCCCGGACTTAAGGTGACACAAATTGGCTCATTTTGGGGTCATGTTGCCTTCATTTTAGAACCCTCCCAGATCCCCCACCAAACGGTGACCGAGGTAAAAGTTAAGGTGACACAGAGGGAGAAGTAGGCTGTAAAGAGACCTCCAAAACGTGGTAGAGCTACATCCTATAAGATATATTATATATATACGTATATTTATATGTTTATTTATATTTTATATCCATATCTATATCTATATTTATATTCATATAATATTAATAGAGTATATCAAATAGATCTTTCTAAATTTATTGTACGTACATTTATTGTACTGCATCTTGGTCCGCTGAAATGCACTGAGCACAAGCTGACAGTTAACACCACACAGGCTGGATCAGCTGCACCTCAGCTGCACCTGGAAACAGGGATCGAACTGCACATGGAGCAGTGGGAATTCGGCTCGGCCGGTGACTGGCAAGGAACGTTGACAGACATTGACAGACATTGACAAGATTTACGAATGAATGACTCTGAACTGAAACTCGAACCTTTTAGGACAGATTAGTGAAGAATGATCAAGAATGTGCTCTGTTTGAGCGGGTCTAGTCAGTCTAGTCTCAACCGTCCGCTCTTGCAAATCTTTTCAAAGAGCATCGTTGTGTTGTCATACAATGAATGGAGCAGTTCCTTCGGCAGGGCCATTCGGCCAATGCCCATTCAACAAGGTCTGTCTCTACGGATGGACCAACAAAAAGCGTGAGACTTTGATACATCTAGCGATCCATGCGCCACCATGGTGGCAACCCAGATCTATGAGCCTCTCACATTGGCAAAGCCACAGTCACAGCTTCAGCTGCTGGCGCGGCCTCGGCTGCCGGCTCTGCAGGCTCAGCTGCAGGGGCCTCAGCTGCCTCGGTTGCTTCGGCCGCTGCCTCTGTCGGCACCTCCGCAGCCGCCTCGGCTGCTGGCACCTCGGCGGCAGCTGCCTCGGCCGCCGGCGCCTCGGCGGCAGCTGCCTCGGCCGCCGGCGCTTCAGCAGGAGTCTGAGTCTCAGCGGGTGTTTCTGCTGGTTGCGTATCAGCAGGTGCTGCAGCTGCTGCCTTTGCATCTGCGGGAGCCGTTGCTGGGGTCACAGACTGGAGGTATGCTTTGCATTCTTTCCAGTCATCGCCACAACGTTCGTAAGGGTTACGACCCGAGCCGTCCTTCCGGGTTGGATCGTCACCTTTTTCAATGAGAAATTTGCAAATGTCTGTCTTCCCAGCCCTTGCTGCCTCATGCAATGGAGTGTTCTGTGTCTTTGTTGATTGATTGTCGACCTTGGCCCCGTACTCCACCAGGATTTTGCACACCTCGAGTTGATTCCACGCTGCATAGAACAGCGGCGTCTGCCTCAGCTCATCGTAGATGTCAGCATGTGCTTTGGCTTCCAGCAAGACTTTCAGCGTGTCAACATGGCCTTTCTCAGCGGCGAAGTACACTGCAGTGAGGTTCTTTTTGTTGAGAAAGTCCACATCTGCCTTGTGCTCAATCAGAAGGGAACAGGCCTCTGTTTCGCCCTTCATTGCAGCACAAATCAAACCAGTGTTGTCCCACTCGTCCTTGGCATTGGGATCGGCACCGGCTTCCAAACTTTCCTTCATCTCCTTCACAACACCCCTGCGGGATGCACTCACCAACTTTGAATTGGCGCTAGCTCCGCAACCCATTCTGACTGGTGTCTGGTCACTGAGATTCGCTGAGTCAGGTCGCTGTGCACAAGATGCACCGGATTTGATCCAAAGTTGCTGCGTGCATTCAGCCAATTGTAGGACTTGCTGCATTTTGACTGTGCACACTTTCAGCATGCGACGCTGTATCAAGATCAACCAAACTCATGTCATCTATGGACATGGATGGTTTTTGGGACATGCTACCGGCCTAGCTGGAAGCTGCAGCTGCAGACCTTGAGAGCACTACGGTAGACTACTTGCAGGTGCCAAAAGATTCTGAGGTTTTCCAGACTCTCCAGAAGTGCCGTTTTTCATCCTTCTGTCTGTTCCGTCCATGTGCTTTCCAGGATCCTGCATTGCGAATCTTGCTAGTCACTCTAGTCATCTGCGTTTCAAGATCCACCGGGTTCCCTTGCTGAGGCAATGGTTTGGCCACTTCCTCTTGAAGTTTCTCCCACCTGGACCGGGGATGGCTGGTGCACCGTTACTCTCTGTGCTACCTTGGAATGTTGGGTGACAAGAAACTCCAGACATCTCCCCGCTATATTACCAGATTATCAACAGAAAACTCTCTCTACATCTCTCTACCATAAATTGGAAGGGGCTTGGCCATCTTGGCCCCAGCTCAGAGCCAATGATCTTGATAGGGGTTGAGTGGTCACTAGCTGGCCACTTTGCAAAACCAGCAGATTTTTGGATCCCAAAAACCTGCATCCATCTTTCCTAAGGGTTGGGACTTCGATCAGTCATGAAAGTTTGCTGCCGCTGCGGTTCCCTGTGCTCAGAGCAAGGCCACTCATCTTCATCCTCAATAAACACCTGAGATTATCTTGGACTCACTTTGATCTTAAGAAGCTTTGACACATATCACAGTGGTTCCACCGTCTTGGGCTCTTCAAGATTCAATTTTGAACATGCATGCTGCGAAGTGTTTGGCATTGCGCAGATTCCTGTAGTTTCGATCCTAGGCACATCCCCACGCTTGCGAGCAAGTTCCTTTTGCCGTTTGATCTTCTTCAGTTCCTGGCTTGCCCGACCAACATGATGCAGAGCTATGAGTCCAAAGGGGACCTTGTTTAGTCAACAAAATGTCTTTATCTTTGTGTGCAAAGGACCGAAGGGCACACAATGTCTCATCAATTGCTTGATATTCTGTGACAGTGATATTATTATTATTATTATTTTATTATTATTAGTAGTAGTAGTATTATTATTATTATGATTATGATTATGATTATTATTATTATTATATTATATATATATATTATTTATTTATGGTATGATCATTCTTCTGGTGCTCGCAAAGCTGCACAAAGCCATCGGATCATCGCCTTCTCCGTGTGGTTCTGCTTTTTCTTGATCTTGTGGACATTCCCAAATTCGTCGGTGTACCTGCGCAGTCTATCTATTGGTGCCACCGACCCAGTGGCTCAGGCAATCGGGTCAGCTCTCTCAGATGCCTGTACAACCTCAACCACAATACCACAATGTCCCACAGAGTGAGATGCCGAGGCAGGTATTTTTTTCAAATGGAGGTTTTCTAAAATTGGGGATACCCCAAAACCATGGGTTTCAAATTTGATACTAAAATAGCTTACATATCGGGGTTGATATTTGGGGGGGACTGTTGGGTCCAGATTTTGTAGCTGTAAACTTGCTCTGCCCAATCCCAATCACTACGTTATCATTTCCAGCCCCAAAAAAAAATCACTACAAAAGTGCAACCCCAGCCTGGATAAAAGCTCACTACAAAATCCAAAGGATCTGACAAGAGGTCTTCAAGAGACCCTTCAAAAATCACGTAGATGTTTATAGTGACTTTTAAGTAGATCCCACTGAAGTCTTCAAGATCAGTGGCATCTCAAAAAGATCCCCCAAGAAACACTACAAAGTTCTTCAGGGGTCAAGCCCAGCTGATTTCAGAACATTGATCTTGGAACCCCACAAATTCACTACAAAGTACTTTTAGGTCAAATCTGAGTGAACTCAGAAATCCATTTTCGGTTGACTATTATCTCGCATACTTAAGCACTACAAACTTCTATGACCAAGCCATGCTTGAATCTAGAAACGTATATGACATAGGGTTACTACAAAATGCAAGGACACATGGCCCTAGGGGGACTGTAAAAACCACTGGAAAACCTATTTTACATAGGACCCAAGTCCACTACTTTTGTAGTGGAAATTCCAACGAGGATGCTTACATAATTTTGGATGATTTGGGGTACCCCCATTTTAGGAAACCAAAGACCCCTCTCAGAGGAGCACTCGTCTGCCATTGCCTTCCCCTCCAACCTGAGAGCCACAGCTGAGTATTTTTTCGCGGCTTCGGCATTGGCCACTCGGGAACCAAACACCCAAGCTGCATCAAGCTACCATCTGCCTTTCTTGGTACAAGTAGGTCCGGATAAAATTTTGTCTGGCAAATCTCAGATCCTCCGCCCCAGTTATAAAAATGTTTAAAGCATAATTAAAACTTAAAACAATATAGAAGAAATTAAAAGAATATCTTCCAAAATCTTCCACCGACGCTGACAAACCTCTGTGGGCTTTGGATGGTTTTGGATGGTTTTGGATGGTTTTCTTACCTCCAGGGGCCCCCACGCCACATCAGCTTTGCTGACTTCACCTTCTCGATTCAAGCGACCTGCCTCTTGGTACGAAGCTTGGGTCCGGCATTGCTGTTTGCAGAATCCCAAGCAACCAGGGATCAAAATTGGATGCCCAATACTTGGATTGTTTACTTCTGAAATTGACCAAACTCCGCAGTTCCCAGGACCCCAATTTTGGGGATGTAGTGATTAGATGAGTTGGAGATAACTCATGACTCATCACCGACGCACACAGACTTCATCACATCTGATCTGAGCTGGTGACATTCATGACCCATCGTTCATCGCAAACTGCGTGGCAAAACCTCAGTCCCACTCGTCTGGCCGGGACTCACTGCAATCACTCCACTGAGGTGAAAGCTCTCGGTTGTGCGAAATGACGATGACCTTGGCAATGGCCACATACAGCACCAGTCCAACCAAGGGGGCTCAAAAAATCAAAGAATTTTATAGATCCTTGGTTTTGTTTCGAATGTTGTTCTGCGCCATTTCAACTCCAATTTCCATCCATCGGGGAATAAAACCTTTGACAACCTCTACAGTGTGCTTAGGCCAACACCTTCCAAGCTTCAGAATGCGCTTGGGTCATCCGTGATATCACATGGGTTGCCATTCCAAAGATTTGGAAACCCTAAAACAACCCCTAAGCGCCCTCTAAAACATTGTTGAGTTTCTAACCAAATGAAGCCATCAAGTTTGGATGTGACCAATTTTGGGAAACCACCTGAAATGCTGCACCCCGAACCAAGTTGGAGACTCCACCTCCAAATTCTTTGAGGCCTTCCAGCAAGCGATCGCATGAGAAGTGGCTCAAACCATCAGCAACATTTCCAGATTCTAGGTATACGGTATTTCTATGTATTTCTAAGGTATATAGGAACTGGAAACCATGAGTGGTGGGATGTCGTAAAATTGGAGATCTTGCCAAACCAGTGATTGTAAACCTCAACGTTGGAAAACACTGACTAAAGGTGGCATCCAAAAGTGCCGACCCTCATCCAAAATTGTTGGAATTGTGGAACCAGCACATGTCAGTTTGGTGTCATTCCCATGGGCCCTGCATGGGCCCTTGATGGCCCTAGACTATGGGCCATTGGGCCATTGGCCCATTGGGCCGTTGGGCCATCGGGCCATCGCACCTGCTGCCAGAGCTCCTAAAGAGTCTCGATCCAAATAGTTGGTCGGCCTGAGGATTGATGTAGTCACTGTAGTCCATGCTGAGGAAATGCTGAGGATATGCTTCACCAATTTGTTTGGTATGACTCGGTATGACCATGTTTTTGAAATGAAGCATTCAACGGAAGATGGGGTGACAAGACTTGACAAAGAAAGCATGTTCCAGCTACACTGACAGGAAGATGGACCATGATGGACCATGATGGACCATGATGGACCATGATGGCCATGATGGCCATGATGGTGACTGGGTCCATTCAGAGTTGATTGATAGCACACTGAAGCAGTTCTGTGGCCACAGCTCGTCTAGAATCAGAATGTGTGGAGACAACCTTGGGGCAGCACGGGCAGTCTGCCTGCATCGGTCTGCACAAAGGAAAAATGTTTTTGGGGGTCATGAAATTTTGAGGCACGCACACAAACACAAGTCCTACTTAGCTGGTTTCAGTCAAATTAAAATCTTTCAACAAGTTTATCGAGTCATAAAAGTATCAATTTGATGGAAAAGGATGTCGTCACAGGCAACAGGGAAAAGGCAAACCTTAATAGCAGGCTAATATTTTTTCATGCTCTGAGGGGGTAGTTCTGACGGGTGTAGTTCGGACTTCTACGATAAAAACTAATCCAATACTAATCCACATAATCAAGACATACAAGGTCAATGAACTTGGCGGCTTCAGCCCAATCTGCGGGTCCCAACCACATTGCCGCACCAAGAACCACTTTGACCTTCTGCCCACCAGACAGGATTCCAATCCTGACAGAGCATTCCAACCGGATTCAAATGTGGGGCCACCAGGAACATCCCTAAAATTGGCCAAGGGCTGTTTTTTGGGAGTATATAGTTCAATATCTAGCATGAACTAGGGATTGGGTGGGACAAGCCGTTCTTTTTCTCTCGAAGCGATAGTCATGCCTGGCAGTGTTACCCAGCATCTGTCTGGCAGCAAAACTGTCTTTTTGCCAAACCGCCATGTGGCATCGATGAAAACCCCAGCTCCCGACAATTGCGAGGCAAATCCAAATGACATCAAATGACGTTGTGTCTTGTTCAAAGCCTCTCAACACTTCTGAATCTCTGTTATCTCTGTTCATGATGGCCAACTATAGTCTTCAGGATTCTCCATGGCAAAAATGAACTCGATTTGCTGGGTGTGATAAACCTCAACTGACCCGCAGGGTAGCGCATCCAAGCCTGTGTATGCAGCCGAATAAACCTTAATGGGTCCCAGCATGAAGCTAAGTGAACTTCGCAAGGGGAAGAAGGTGTGCTTGGCTCTGGCGGCCTTGATCTCGCGCACTGACATTGTTAGTCCACTTTCCGAAATCTTTTTGAGGATGCCCTCCACTTCAGATGCTCGGCTGGCAGGGAGTAATAATCCAACCATCGATCGAAGCTTGGCAGCTTCCACGTGTTGTGGACTATCCATTGGCATCATGGCCATGTTGTGCAGACCCAATGTCGGTTGCAGGGGAATGAGTTTTGCGAAGATGCTGCCCGTATCTTTGTAGGGCCCTACGTGTTTGATGAAGAGAAAGATCGACGGCTCCGTCCTGGTCTCGGTGAATTTGATGCTTCGGAATGCGCCCAAGTACCAGGGGATACCGACCAAAGCCCCAGCACAGGCTGCACCGGCCACCATAAGAAGCACCATGGCTTAGGCTGAGATATAGCTTTGGGTTGATCAGAACCAAACCATTCAGCCCTGTCATGAGCAAACATAAAGAAATCTGCCTGTTTTGGTGTTCGGGAGTTCAGCAGTACCCTATCACCATGAGTTGCATTCAGTTTGATCTTAAAAGCTTCAGGTGCAAGGTCAGCGACTTGATGTTGCCTTCAGATCAATGGAGACCCAAAGGCATGACATGGCGTGACCATGTAGCCACCTTCAGTCACCGCCACCAGGCCTGGTGTGAGATGCCAGGTTGGAATCCAATCCAAAGCCCGCCAAGTGCTCTTCCACCTGCCAGGAATCCACCACTGGGCTGAAAAAAAGTATATATATGTATATTATAATGGCAAAACGCAGTGCCTAAGGATGGCGGCCATGCCAATATGTAAACAGTGCTTGCTTACCAGCTCCAGTGAAAAACATCAAATGGAAGAAGTTGATGGAACTTCTGGGACAATCCAGTATGAAGATGGATGAAGGGCGATGCCGAGGTTTTGCAATGCAAATTCCTGCATGTAACATAGGATTCATTGGGTGCCGCAAATCAAATGCATCCTTAGCTTCGTTGCATCATCGTACTTTCCCTTGATGGCCAAATGCTCTTGACTTGCAGCTTGCCATCTGTGGAATTTCAAGGGCGCGTTTCAAACAGAGGGACCCACCAAACTCACAGCATTTCAGCATAGGAATTCATTCAAGTCGACAGACTCGACTGGAAGCCTCCCAGCCCCAGCGACCTGCGGCTGTGTCAAAGGTCGCGCCACAAGTCCATGGGCTGCAGCTTGCTTCTCATCCTGTTGCTGCAGTCTTCTAATGGTTCTGGCAAGACATGGATCTGCAAGCAAATTTCTGCTATCTTCTCGTCATTTCTAGTGTTGCTGGCTATAAGATTGAGAATTTAGCAGATTGATACAATTTACTGACAAATTTACTATATACATCATCATAATCCACCACAACTGTTTCAAGTTTCAACCCTACTATAACAGTTCCCTTGCTCTCTGAGTGCAACGTCCTCCCGCTGTATCATTCGCAAATGGCCCATCTCGACAAGTATCTCTCGAGGCACCTCAGCGATCTCAGAGCAAATTCGAAATCGAAAGGCCATGCTACTGGCATTCTGCCATTAGGTGGGAGGGGTAACCACTCCCCCAACGTACGGAATGCGCCTGTGTAGGCCCAACTTAGGAAGGGGCCCACATTGCGCTTTCCAAACTGAAGTTGTGCCACTTTACCTGTGCTGGAATGCATGGGAATCAGGTATATACATGGCATACATTTCCTGCTGAGGTTTGAGACAAAGAATATTCAGTGGGACTATGTCACCCTCATCATATCATCACTTCTAATATTTCTAATACTTCTACAATCTGCCAGTGCAGAAATATGGATGGTGCTGACTTGCTGACTGAAATCTTGGAGCAAAGATCTCCGGTCCTAAAAATGACCTCTGACCTGGTAGTAGGGGTTAACAGCGGTTGGCAGCTAATGTTAGTGTCACAAGGATCGAATCTGTTAGAATCACACCGCTCCATAAACGGCCAAACAGTTGCCGTTGTAGTTCGCTAAGTTTATCGCGGAGTACTCGTACTTTTCATCGCCGGTGCCGGCTTTGGATTTGGACCTCAGAGGCTGTACGAAAACAGCCTGGTCATAGCAGTGTTCACAAACAATCGGACTTTCACAGCTTTCATGTTTATCAACCTAACGATATTTAACGATCTTGGAATCCTTACAGGATATTATAAGACTAAAATCACTCTGGTCAAATAAATATGGATCCCGGTATCCTTGCAATGCATCGCTCTGGGGATTATAACAAGCTCAAACTCTAATTTCTCTAATTTGAGGTCGAAGCTTCTTTCGGCTCAGAATTTGTTCGGCCGTCACTGCACAAGCCTCCTCCTGGTAAAAATGCGGTCTCTCTCACATTGAAGCAAGTTCAGCCCAGACCCAAAGATGCAGCTGATCTACTGCTAATCTAGCCCCAGGTTGCAGAGCAATCAACACAATCATGACATGGAATGACATGGAATGAATTGCCTAAACCTCAAAGGACATTTCCACATCCTGCAGTTGTTCCGGAGTCCTTCTCATTCGTACATTTGCACAGAACTCCAGCTTGATTGAGCCTCAACAATGACAACAGCTGCCTTCTGCACAAGTTCATTCCCATGTTTATCAGTAATACTGTTTTAAGTCAGAAAGCTTATGGTTGGACAACGCTATTCACATTTAAATGGATGCACCAGTGATGATATTGCTGATGATCTGCTGATGCAAATCCGCAAAAGCGGATCTATGGGCCACTTCCAATTGGATTACACTGATTGCACTGAGGTCCGCGGCCAGTACTTTCTCTTTTCCACTTTGACTTCCTGGCACAGCTTGAGTGCTGAGACAATTTATCGAAACAGGTTTTGTAAGGTGAAGAAACTATGCCTACAACATTGCAGAATCAATTTATGGACCGCTGTATTTCCTTACATATTCCATGTTACTACATCTGCAGCATCTTCCCATCTGCAAGCTCACATTGTGAAGGATCACTAGATGGTGAGATCACATTGTGATGCCTTTATTCTTGGCAGTTCTGCGGAATTCCTCGCGCTGCTGCTCCTCAGCCCGATGATTCAACGCTTCGCAGTCTTCCCCACCAGCAAAGCGCCACAACAAGTACCTTGGCTGAGCTGGTCACGGGGTGCAGGGCCACCGAAGGGACCACTTAGTTCTGCAAAGGGGTCACCCAGGATCCCTTGAGATTTCATTTGGTCCCAAATCAGCAACGGCTCTTAGAATGCGACTGGGTTGGCGTCTTGTCCAAGTGCTGTTCCTGGACTCCGCAAAGCTGTTTCAGTGGACTTTTGAATCAACTCCTGGTAAAGTAGTCAACCGAATTATCAACCAAATTGTCAACTGAATTGTCAACCGACTTGTCAACCTAATCAACTTGACTTGGGAACAAACCAAAGGGATCCAAAGGAATACATCGTCCAGGTCCTGTTAGGTAATAGAGCACTGGAGGGCATTAGCAAAGTTTCAGTGAGTCTGAGCTCGACACTACATGATGAAATGCATGTTGCGCAACGTAGGAAATGCGAACCTCAGAAGCACACATTGATGCACGCTGATGGGCGCTGATCGGCTGTAACCATGAAGGCAACAATCATCTGTCCGCAGGTCATTCAAACCCACATCTGATCATGGCTTTGGCGAACACTTGCTGGTGCATTCCAAAAGACAGATCCCCCACTTCATCCTTGATCATCCTAGCTTCAACAGCCGTTGTCCAATTTCTGGAGCGGGTGGAAATAATGAGGCCCTGACATTTGGATGCTTCCAAACAATCGATTTGCCAGTGATAGGCAGCTCGCCGACCAAGGCCTAACCGAAGGTGCAAAATGTCCCACTGGAGTCACTAGAGTCGCCAGTGATTGCTTTGAGATGCCACCCCAATCACGCAGGCAAACAATCTGGTCGAACTGAGTATGAAAGCATATTACAAAGGTCAAAATTTGGTACTGTACCCCCAAAAAACTGGCATAGTGTACTACTAAAAATGACATGTTTCCACAGCACTGCGGTTCCCAGCGACTTAAATGTTGACAGATGGCAAGTGCAGCCTGCCTTGATCATGGTGGACTTGCCAGCACCGTTGGGACCTATCACCGCCACGCGGCCTTGGCATGGCATGCTGCATGGCCATTGAGTACATGAAGAGCTCTTCATATCCTTCACACCGATTCATAGCTTTTGATTCAATCCCATTCATACCTTTTGTCGCAAAAACATCTGTAATTGCGGAACGACCCTCAGCATTCCCAAAGCTAGATCCAAGTAGAAACTGTCGAGCCAGGTGATCAATACCCCAAAAGCTTCCACCAGTAAATCAATAAATACACGAAAAAACACTGGCCATGGAGATAGGACCCCTGAATGTACCAAAATATTATAGAAGGGAAAAAGGATGAAAAAGGTAATGACCAAGTATAAAATACATAAAATATCATAAAATGGTATAAAAAGGTGACAAAGCCCAGGATTGCTCACTACTCGCTGCTTGGGTGGGTCATCTAAACGCCCACATCCAAATGAATTGACTTGCAGGTGGCTCAGAAGCGACACCTCGATACTCACATTGTAGAGAGTCGGCCTTGGTACACGGGATGTGGTGTCAATAGAGACAGCATGTGCTTTGAAAAAGGCCTCAAAGCGCGCGTCGATTTTGAATGAATCATTGGTCTTATAGAGATTTGTAGGGTTACACATGAAAAGCTTCCAACCAACAGACTATTCTCCACTTTTTGGGATTGTACAAAATTAAACATGCTAGTAGCAGAAACAGTGGGATTGGCAAAAGTTAAAACACTCGCAGCACAATCAGGATCGGCACCAGGTCTTCACACACCCTTGCATTCCTGCAAACTCTTGTAGACTCTTGTCATATCTGTTCATCGTTTTGAAGTTTAAGGACAGGACGCCTGGTTGCCGGGATATGTGTAGGTGACCTCGACAGGAACACCGTAAAACCATGTAAAACCCGTAAATTTATGCAACTTTCATCACCAACATTTGATTGAAATGCATCACTTCTGATTTGCATGAAATCAGCCCAGTATAGCCCAGTGGCATTCTGCATCTTCAAGAGCTTCTTTCCCTTGGACTTCACGCCCTGATGAGAAGGCACAGTGATGCCATGTCATCGCCATGAAACATCTGCAACGGGCCAACGGGTGCTCCATGGTGCGCCTCCAGCATGCCTGGCTCTGGCAAAACAAAGCGCTGTTTTTCGCTGGTGAGGCTGAGATAGGACCTCAAATTCGTGAGAACTCTGTGCTGAGAAGTGCTCACCTCACGATGCAGCCAGTACAGCCAGTACATTCTCCTGGGCCCTACATAGACTAAGAGGCATGCGCATGGGAGTCTATGTAATCAATTGACATACCCAACGATTATATAATTAGATAGGTGCGTTGAAGCGGTCAAGTTCTATTCACATGTTCGCTTGAAGTTCATAGGCTGCAACTAAGCCAATGTTGTACTTGGTTGCATCAACTGTAGGAAGCTTGCTCGTGACCCGGGTGAACCACTGAGCTGTTGACTTCGCCTCTGGACATCTGCGCACAAAATCCGTGATATTTCCCTTGTAGGTCTTCAGCCTCGCCATGCTCACGACGAGATCACGGGATGATTTGGATCCTGACTTCCGACATCCTTTGCCCTACTTGGATGGTCGCTCCAAGACCAGGTGATCCCGAAAATTGATGAAATAGATCCGGTCATTTGGAGTTACCTATCTTGAGTTTGCAGGTTACGGTTAGGCAATATTGAAAGCATGATGTTGTGTAATATGACATAAAGCAATTGCCACCAGCAAAGTGTAAATCTAGCCCCATCCCATCCCACCCCCCATTTTGACACAAACCAGCACAAACCCATTTCCTCCCACCTGAGGCCCTGAGGTCCGGACTTTCGTTGCTTGACATTGATGACATGGCTACAGACTTTGTCCAGGAAGGTGCTGTCATGGGAGACCACAATGGTCGTGACTGGTCTGGTTGCATCCTTGCCCAGGCTGAGCCTTGGGAAATGGCCAAAGGGAATCGAAGAAATATGAAGAAATGCTTAGTGATCAAAGAGGATCAAAGAGGATCAAATGCAGTAAACATGGAATTTTGAGGAATTTTGATCATGTCCTTATCATGATCCTCCTTGATCCTCCATTTCCTCGACTCTTACGATGGATCTCCAACCGATTCCATGGTCTATCCATGGTCTAGGAGAAAGGGAAGGTCCCCACGACGCAAACCAATGGCAAACCAATGATGACATTCATTTGGTCTAGGATCGAGCTTTGGCAAACATCATTTGTTCAACAGGACGACAGCTTGCCAAAGATTCGGACGGGTACCACAACAACCTTGATCCATATTCAACATCTTCAACAGTATTGCTTGCCTACCCTAAATTGTGAAGCAACGAGCCAAGGAGAAAAGGACATGAAAAAAGAAAGGCCCACCGCAGCTATCCAAGCAGCAAGTAATCGCCCAACCAGCTCACATTTGCAACATCCAGGTGTCCTGGAGTCTGCACAGCAAATTTGGATGTGGCAAGTCATACCGAGTCCCCAGAGCCCCACAGCGGATGTCATAAGCATCTTGACAAATCTTGAGGCACCTGTTGGTTCATCCAGCAGAAGGATGTCTGCACACATGAGCATGGCTCGCACCAGCCCGAGCCTCGAATATTCAATCATGTATTGATCACCGCATGAAGCAGTGCGGGTAACGTGAATTTAAAAAGATTGAACGAGAGCACGGAATCAGCCTCAATCGAGTCGCAATGTCTAGATATGTTGAATATAATCTTACTATATCTTAAAATCTTACTTAATTGTCTTCAGAATTCTTTGGATTTCTTCAGACTAATGCATCTCCAGCATGCTCCGCTTCTGAGAATCCGACTTCATTTTCCATCCTCCGGAGAGATGGCCGATCCTCGAAGTAACAAGTTGACAGTGTTGGGCCTGTTGGGCCTGTTGGGCCTGTTGGGCATTGAAAAGTTATGACACACGCCTAATGTACTGTATGTTGCGAATCTGAGGGTCAGCCAAACGTCTGAATCGCTGAGCATGTTCAAAATAGATCAAAATTCGGCTCCGCCGGCTCCCCACGAGTGGCTTGCCCTACGAGCGTCCCAGAGCGACTAGAGCTCTAAGGTGAGGCGCGCCCCCAACCGCCGACCCTCCGACGCCGGGCCCCGAAAACCACCAAAAATCCTTCAGGAGGGTGGGGGAGAGCTTTTTGGCCGGAATCCGGGTCGCTCATAAGCGTCTCCAAGAGCATTCCCCCCCCCCCGTTTTGAGGGTACCTAAAATCGAAAAAAAGTGCCGTTTTGACACCTTTTTCGGACGATTTTTCGCTTTTCGAAATGGACAAAATGCTGTAAATTACAGCATTTTTGCGTTTTGACGTCTTTCGCGGGAGCAATGAAAAAAAGCAGAAAATGCTGTAAATACCAATACTTTTTAAACCGGAGATGCACAAAACACCGCAAATACCAGTGTTTTTGAAAGCCAAGCAAAAAAACACTGTAAATTACAGCATTTTTGGCAAGTCGATCGCAAAAAATGCTGGTATTTACACTGTTTTTGCAATTTCAAGAAAACGTGGAAGGCACGAAACACTGTAAATAGCGGTGTTTTAGCCACTTTCGGACGCCGAAACGTTGGTATTTACACGTTTTTTTGCCCGTGACGGCGCCAAACCCCTGTAAATTACAGCATTTTTTGCACTTGTTGAACCGATGTTTTGCCTTGATGAACGCAAAAAACGCTGGTATTTCCGCGTTTTTCAAAAAATCGAAGGTCGTGACGTGAACGAAACCCTGTAAAAAAACAGTGTTTTAGCCACTTTCGGGGACTAAAACTGTGGTATTTACGCGGGTTCTTGCCATCTGACAGCGCAAGATGCTGTAAATTACAGCACTTTGTGCGCTGTTTATGTTCAATTTTTAAACACGCGATGCTTTCACATGTTCTTTGCATTATTTTGCACTCTTCCACAAGAAACAACGTTGCAGATTGAAACTGGACGACAGCGTGACCCGAAAGAAAGCTGGAGGGAGGAGACGCACAGAAGCTTTTACCCACACACACAGGGGCTTTTACACAGAGAAGTCTTTACAAAGGAGCTTTTTACATACAGAAGGTTTTACACAGAGAAGTCTTTACTCTAAGGTGCTTTTGCAGACCAACGTCTAGGAGCTTTTACTCACAGAAGTTTTTACACGAAGAAGTCTTTACACAGAGGACTTTTTACACACAGACGCGTTTGCACACAGAAGCTTTTACACAGAGAAGCCTTTACACAGAGGAGCGTTTACACACCAAAGCGTTTACACACAGCAAGCTTTTACACACGCAGGGGCTTTTACACAGAGAAGCCTTTACACAGAGTAGCTTTTTACACACAGAAGGTTTTCCACAGAGAAGTCTTTCCTCTGCGGAGCTTTTTCACACAAACGTCTTGGAGCTTTTACACACAAAAGCTGTTACACAAAGGAGTCTTTACACAGAGAGCTTTAACACACAGACGCGTTTACACACAGAAACTTTTACACAGAGAAGCCTTTACACAGAGAGTGTTTACACACGGAAGCTTTTACACACAGAGAAATCTTTACACAGACGGGCTTTCACACAAAGAAGCTTTCACACAAAGAAGTCTTTACACAGAGAATCTTACTTTTACACACAAAAGCTTTTACACAGAGAAGTCTTTGCACAGAGGCGCCTTTACACGAAGTAACAAGTTGAAATCGGCAGCAGTTCTTTAGGAAAAACCCTTCGCAGGAGCTTTCGGGAACTCACTTGCTCCCCAAAAAACGTCTATTCCAACAAATATGTTCCAAAAAACCTAAGGAATATACTTATTTCTGAAGCAGGTCCTCATTCAGTAACTTTCACGCCCTCACTGCGATGAAATGGAGGGCCGAGTGGTCCGGCGGAGCCGACGAGGGGCGTCAGCCCAAAAATAGCATAAAGTAGCCGTGTTCCAACTCAGAAAAACATTTTGAATGAATGAGTTTCTCTATTAGAATCCACCATGAAATGGTCCCTCTGCTGCAACTGAGGCGAGTGCTCGCTCTTCAGCTTCTGATCGTCAAAGCCAACGCTCCTTAAGGCTGCCACCACCTGACCGGTCACTTTGTCACTGGCATGGAACTCCCAGCTGCAAACTGCACAACGGTCGGCCCAATGGGCCAATGGGCCTTCTTCTTCCTGAGTTGCGTCAAAGCTGGGGAAGTGACCACACACCAATCTTGACTAAAAAAGGGGAAAATGATGGAAAATGTCCACAAGAATGCTTCTGGTTGGCAAATCCCAAACCAGTCCCCCTTCCAATTTTGCCAAGCATCGTGACTCCCATGGCTTTGATGGTTTCATCTGCAAAAATGTATTCCAACGGAGTCCACCTCAGGTTTTGAGTGGTCACAAGACCCTTTGATTTGGACCTGGTTTGTGGTCAAAACCAATGCATTTATTCTATTTTATGCTCTCTTCAACTTCATAATACTTCATAATACTTCATAATACTTCATAATACTTCATAATACTTCATAATACTTCATAATACTTTATATTTATCTTTATTTAGTCTTCATATCTTTGCAAAACCTCTGATGATTCTGTGCTTTCCACACGTGTCCAGAACCCCACCAAGGCGGCCACTCGCACTCCGGCTCTGTCTCGCCCACGCCGTGCTCCACGAAGGCCGTAACCAACTCGCTCTTGGGAGGGAACCCCTCCACCTGTATCAACACGGCTGGGATGTTTCGTGCAACTCCAGAACAGAAGTAAGAATAATTAGAATATGAAATAAGAAAATAAACATAAATAAATACAGAAATAAGTAAATTAATTGGTAAAGCAATAAATCAATAAATAAATATATATATATATACGTATATATATATATACATATATATATATACATATATATATATACATATATATATACACATACATATATATATATTATGGCTTCAACGATTGGAACACAAAAATCCATGGGCTTAGGTGAGCATGGTGAGCAGGGCATGACAGCACAAGCAGCAACCGGATGACCCAATGGGATCTAATGGAAATCTTTCATCATCTTTCAGCCTGTTCGTTGTTGATCGCTTTCAAAAGAGTACTCTTGCCGCAGTCGTTGGGACCTCAGGACCCCGGTCCAAACATTGAGGGCGTTGAGGGTGGATTTTTTTGCTGTCTTCCTCCGTTTGACAATTTGATGTGGACCATTTTGGGAAATCAGTTCCATCCCTTCCTTGAATGATTTTAGTGTGTCCTCCTCTACTGTACTTCTTTGCGCCATTGTCACAGGCGAATAAAACACAAAACGATTCAGTCTTGCTTCCATCCAGATTTGTGCAACCTCCTAGGCGTTCCACCACAAAGCCCATAGCATTTACCACGTTTGAGGTGTAGCCTGACATCAGCTGCTGTGGGATGCAATTGGGAAATGCATCTGACGTTGCAGTACATCCAAGATCATCCAACACATGCAATGCTGAAGCGGCTGAAGAACATTGAAGAACTATAGAGAACTGGCATTGCAAAGAACCTGTCCACATCTTTCCACTACGGAGCCTGGTGTTATTGAGCAACGTCAGGGCCTTGGTTTGATCAACATTGGGATTCCAGCTACTGTACACAGTGTGTCACAGTGCCACGGCAGTGCTTGAGGTGGAGACTCCGTAGCCAAGCGTGAAGACGCAATTGCAAAGGTCTTCACCTGAGATGATTTCAAGAAACCATATTTGTAACAGCTTGGCACCATGCACCACTCAAATTTCAAAGCAATGCATCTCTACCCTCTGAGATGATTCAGAAAAGCAAGTCACTAGCAGCTAGCATATTTTACAGATCACATTCTTTCCACCAGTGTGTGGAACCACAAATGAAACCCTTGGGGGGTAACCCAGCCCACCTTCTTCCTCCAAATCCTCAACGTCATCACCTTCAGCCGCATCATAGCAGCTCTCAAGCAGTTCTGGCCTCGTGGTGGACGCAGACGGGAGCGATTTTCGATATTCTCGATCAGCCAGGAAAAAACAGTTTGGCTCAGGTGATCATCGGATTCCAATCAGTGGATTAGAAATGGAAATGGTGGAATCATCGGCCAGGAATCACGGCATACGCAATGGTTGGATGGTGCTGGACGTTTTGTCTGATCTCATCACTCAATATCTCATCACCTTGCACCGAGGCCCCAGCACTAAGTCATCACAGTCTTCAACGGATAAGATCAAAGGCGAGAGATAGGGCCTTAAGTGGCAGGGAAGATTCTTGATGTGCACACCGGACACTTTATTGGATACCAATTTCATGTTGACTGACATCCTGACTCTCTCAAATAGTTTTCAATGGAATATACTTCAATATGTACTTAATGCATTTAGTCAGTCATGTAGTTGAGGAGCTTTGGATTAGGCTCTCAGTTTTGGACGCAATGCACTGCCACCATTCTGCCAATTCGAAACTTCTGCAGGCCTCATCAACACTATCTGAACTGACACATCTGATGTACCACAGGAACGACTTTCACAGACGCATTTCTGAGACAGGACTTCAGTGATCTTCACAGTCTACAACTGTTTTCTTTCTTGACAGTGGGAGAGACTAAACATGAAACAAGAGCTGACTCAGGACTTCCCCTTCACTGCACATATTGCTTCTGCCATCCAACTCTGCAATCGCATGCAATCACTTAAGACCTTGACGCTCATACAGGCACAGAGCGATGCAACGTAGTCGATGACTACTTCACTCACCTTAGATGCCGATGCCATGCATTGCCGGACCTGGATCGCCATTGGCGTGGCAACTCCCAGATCTATCAGCTCCAGGCCAGTTGTAGTTTTGCTGCTGGGATCTTCTCCTGTAGCAAATCCACAACCTTAGCGCCGAGCCAGGCTATCTGGAGCCACCACTATCAACGAAGCGAGCGCCGTGGTTCAAGGTGATTCAAAGATACCAGTTGTTGCCAAAGTTTGCCAAACTGTTGCAGCATGCTGCAGCAACAGGTTCCTGGCTGAAGCTTTGCTGATGAATCTCCTTCGATCTGCCTGAGAAGTGCACAGTGCGATCTGGGGATTTTCACTGCTTTGTTTTTGTAATTCACTATATACATCAATCATCATACATCTTCTCTGTTGACTCCGAGTTGATCTTGAATCACCAACTGACATTGCAGTGCACCACGATCTCTTGCTGGTCCCAAGGTTCAGGCCTTGTCCGCTGCTTGTAGGGTGGCAAAGCAGCGACTTGCAACACTTCTGACCTGTCGCAGCGTCAAATTAATGTATGAGATGCAATTCTAAGTTTAGACTTTAATCTGCAAGTTGGTGTGATTTTGTTCAAGATGGAAGGAGGTCGAGGTCCACCCGATGTCCACACAAGGTTCATACCCCATACACTTCACAGCAACTTTCCTAATCTTTCCCCACCTTCCTCCACAAGCACTGTAGAGTTTTTAGAGTTGCATGGAAATGGGAGAATTGGATCAATTCCAGTGACCTCCGGATCGGAAATGGTTTGGATCGATTTTTCCACCAAAGGGATGAGCCTTGGTGGGTCATCCAAATCAATGCAGCGCGAAACTCTTGAACAAAATATGGCACTGCCATTCTTCTATAAATTCCAGTGGAGTGGATGTGAATAGCAGGTATTCCATGCTCTTGTCCGCACTAGGCAGCTTCGCTCTTGGGACACCACGTGGGCAAAAAGGGCTGAATCTCTGTGACGTCTGGGACCAGTTTGCACATGTTGTCGGCGATCACCAATGCCCGTCGCTTCGTCCTATCGAAACCGGCAGTCAGAGCAGCAGCAAATACTGCAGGCGACCGGGGGCCCTCTGTTCTCATTGATTCATCCAAGCAAAAAAAACACCTTCACATGATATTTTCTGATGGGTTTTCTGAATCAAGAAAAAATAGTAACAGTGAATAAAGAGGTGCAGCAAGGGGATTGCTGATTTTGTCAGCACATCCCGAGTTGTTTTCAGAAGTCTGTGTCCCCACCAAATTAGAACCCGACATTTTGGGTGGATCGATGGCAGCTCCTCTCGTCTCTGTCTTTCAGTCCACGGAGGATCAGTGGCATGACCACAGCCAGGGCTGGTGTCTCAACCTTTGTCCAAGCAAGAGGAGCACGTGTAATTGATGGCAATGTGATTGATTGTGATTCTATGATGTCTCCTGTGAGATTGTGTAACAACGTCAAGGAAGTTTGCTGTAATTAGTTTCGTCTTTTTCTTGCCTCCTTGCACGTTTCCCCTAAGTCTCAGCCACACGATTCACACTGAAAACACTCAAGAGTGTTGCTTGTCATTCCCAAGTCTCATCCATGCGCAGTGCACACCACCAGAATTATCATCCCTTGAACCATCTCAGCAGCCAACCGACTGGACGAAAACGATCTCTGAGAGCTGGTTCACCTGCATGGCAGCCGCGTTTCCCAACATTGGGTGACACAGTACAGGTACAGTACGTGTTGGGTCGAGCCTTTGGGTTCACAAATTGTTCACCACTTTAGAATTATCTAAAATCCAAATCAAGCTGGAAGCACCATCAAACCACCTTCATAAAATTGGTGGCAGCTTTCATTCCAACTTGTGACAAGTGCCTGGGGGCCTAGGAATTATTTCCCTTCAATGGTGCAGGCTTTCAGGCTTTCCAGGACTGGGACTTCACAGTTCCCCTGGATGGTGGCAAGGCTGCGCGGCCATGTGCCACTGAGCTTTGGACCACTTTGGGGATGACTTCCTGGTCCATCATGGCCTCTGACCCATGCGGCAAACAACTGGAGCTTCGTCAATTTCGTTGACAGCTCTCTCCAAATAAATACCTTCTGAGGCATTTGAGGCCCAACGCTGATGAGATCAACCAGGTAGGGATCAAGGTCCTGGGTCAAGAAATTAAGTAACCGCACCAAAAAATGGAACCTTAAGATTGGCCGGCTTTGCTAAGCAAGTCTGTGCGAAAAGAAAAGCACGAAGTCTTCACATCATGCATTATCTTTCCTTCAAAGTAAGGACCTGTTGTGCAGTGGATGTGGCGTCATCTTTTCCATATTGACAGATAGTACCGGTGCCAGCAAGCTACGAACACCGCATGTTTGCCATCCAGACATCCATGCATTGGATTGCATTGGCACAAAGGCAACCTGAGACTCACCAAACCTGTCCTTGTTCTGCGCGCATTCAAACAGAACTCTGGCAGTATCTGCAGCCTCTGTCGGCTCAACCGGTACCATGATGCACCCGGTAGTCGCAGGTGTCTGATCAATGCCGAGCCAAGGGCCGTTTCGCGGACTTCTCGTTTCACCTGAGGCAGGGAGGACCATGAGGATTACTGATGGATTCCAATGGTAACCACAACTAATAATGATTGACAACAATAATCGAATAAACATTATAATATGTATGCAGTATACATACAATAGATACTACATATGTTTTTCAATTAAATCATAAATACATATAATATAACAAGATACAGGAACAAGCATGGTAAATATGACAAATGATAGATAAACTGAAAATGGAAACCATAGATGGCGACTGATGAATGACAATGATAAGAATAATGATCCTCGTTATCATCATCATCGTCGTCGTCGTCGTCCTCCTCCTCCTCATCATCATCATCACCACCACCACCATCACAATTATGCCTGTGATATCGGGTACAAAAAGCGGCGCGCAGTACAGCATATCTCTCCATTTTTAGCAGCCTCCAAGCCAAGGCCATCTGAGACCTAGACGTCGTTCAACATCTCAGCAATGTGTGGCATGATTCTGTCCTCAGTGGTCCACTCAGCGCACCAGGAATGACCAGGATATCCTGAAGCTCGAGGCACGAGTGTGCCAATAACCGAATTAACCGAATGAGGCAGCCACCAACTGCCGGGCCAATGGTCGGAAGGTGTCCTGGAGAATCAGGGCAAAAAAAATACGGGATCGTAATTCTTCCCAGGAGCTGCCGTGAGTATTAGCGGCGCATAGAAATACAAGAGATTACACAGGAAAGCCTGTCCAACCTACCCCTAAGGCTACAGATGTTAAGGTCGCAACACCTGGATTTTGCTTTGGCATCCTCCTTGACTGACAATAAGTTGACTTGGCATACCTGCTTAGGTTTTACATGGTTTTACCAAACCATGCAAGCCAAGTCAGTGCCCTTGTCCTCATCTCGCATGAGGGCCAAAAGTCGAAGCGCTCCCACCTCTTGCCAAAGAACTGCAAAGATTAAAGAAATTACATTACAGTATATTGTAAGTACAGCATGAGCTTCTCACTTTTGCACTCAAAGTCTGTGTTTGAAGCCTAACAAAAAAGGTGATTGTGTCGCCAAACAGCAGCTATTTACAGCTATTTCATGCTGCCATCGCCAGGGCCTTGATCTCGGTCTTCTCTTTCTGTTTCAAGGCCTTCAGTGACTGAAATTCACACAGCACAGTCTGTGACCTCCTGAGGCCCGAACTCCCAGCACGAAGGGCAGGACCACATCAACGCCTTGGAACGGGGAAGCTCCAAGCACCGTGTCAAAGATGTCGCACATTTTCACACATCTTATATATATATTATATATTATCTTTGCGGAAGAAACACTTCTGGGAAACAATTTGGGAAAACAAATCACTACAGCAATGACCTTTTTCTGGTTCGAAACCAAGTTCGCAGTTCTCTAGGATAGGCAAAGGATTGAGCAAAGGCAGGAAATCATTCCGTATGTCATGGTAATCGTGATCATCTCAAGAGTGACTGTGGTCAAACATAGTTGCGACGTAGTGCAGACCTTGACATGGAAAATACACAAAAACAAGCCAAACCTGCCAGAAAAAATCAAAGGAATACACGTCGTACCCAACCAAAGTCCACCCGAATCAGGTAGACCCTTTCGAGATCGCACAACAGTGTGTGGCAAAACAACGTTTGAAATCTTTTGGATACTTTTGGCACGTGCGCGATGCATCAAGCCATATCTCATTAGCCTCCGCTGACCCACCTGCACACGCTGTCCGGGTCCCTCACATAGTCTCATATCCAAACACTTCAAGGCACAAAGCATTTGGACAGCATAATCGATTATAATCGTGATGGAATCTGTTGGGACAAAAGTGCTCAGGAGGGCAGGTCCATGTTGGACAGGAGCGACCATGGTCTGGCATTCATGAGCTAAAAAGGTTCGGCTTGTGAGCCGAACGGTGCCTAGATCCTGCCATTCGGCAAGTCCAAGAATTCAAGGGCCACCGAAAACTTGCCTTGAGCAAAAGTGACCAAACGGCACGAGCTCTCGCATTCCGGTAGTGCATTAGTACTCCCAATATGGGATCATATAGGTATGTCAGGTGCTTGTCGGCAAACGAACTCCTCTGATTCTTCGAGTGCAATTCTGGATGTAATTAATCCATGGTACCATATTAATCCATGTTACCATAATTAATGGTACATCATGTTACCATATTAATCCGTCAAGCTCGAGCCATGGCACGGAGATGCACGGAGTGAGTGTCAATTCCCTGTCACTTGTCCAGTCCAAGGATGCCAGGTGGGATCCTTACCGTGCGCAAACTGGGAGGATTTGGGAATTGGGAATCTATGTTTCTGGAGACCCTCGCTGAAGCATCTCTCTCCATCTCTGTCTCAATCCATTGCTCAACTTAAGGTCTCAAGTTTCACGGTTCAATGCCAATCTTTGATAATCTTTGCATGTGGGCTGAGCTGGCTGAAGAACTATAGCCTACCTGAGAATGATCCTGTAAAAGGTACCAAGAAGATCATAAAACATCAACACTAAAACCATCAACAGCTTTCAGTTGAAGGCCCATAGCCCTTGCAACTGAACGCACCCGAAGCAAGAAAAAGCTGGTGCATGGCCGTGCGGATTGCAAAGTGTTTGTTTATCATCCATGAATTGATGACGCTGTCATGGTAGATGGATGTAGATGGGTGTTGGGTCTCAGGCCGATGGCCAAGTTCCATGGGATTGTCAATCGAATAGCCCGAAAATAAGTGGCTGTCCCGATCTGTAAATGCGGCTCTCCGGCAACATGTTCCGGAAGTAAGAATCAGCGGGTGAAGTTTCACTACAGGAGTACGGTTCAAGAGGTGAAAACAATTGGTTTCTTTTTAAATGAACATATCTCATGAATCATTCAATCACCACATATATGATGTATCTAATATTGATTAGAGAAATAAATTGTTATTTGATGTTATTTGATCGAAACATCCGATTCTGCCATATTCTTCCCATCGCCTTTAGGTTCCTTTTGGAGGTACCAACTTGGATCCCCACAGCATCCCCACAGTGTCTGCTGAGGCTCCATGGCGAGCCCGGCAGCTGCCATTGCCCCATGCGTGGGGAGGCGGGCGAGGGTGCGGGAGCTGCTGTGCGGATCCGCAGCGTGTCCTGGACAAGGCCAGCAGTTGATGGGTGTTTGGTTGATGGCCACGAGTGGCACGACTGCATGAGAAAAAAAAGGGTTGTGGATCCACCAGCGGCTCCTGCCCCAACTTGGAAAGCCCCTGCTTCAAGAAATCCAGTTGCTGGTCGGTCAAGATCAGTTTATCCTGAAGGACACTGCCAATATGCAGGTTTAGGACAGATGCACTATGTTCCCCCCACATCTTCACTTCGGCAGTAGCTACTGACGTCGTGGACAAGGAGCGATGGTCTCTTGCTGCTTCTGCTGGATGTTGTTCAGGACTTGCGCCACGGAGAAGTCGATAGAAACCTGGTCAAAGTACTAGTCCAGCAGGTGGCAGGGCATCTAAATTGAGTTAGGTCCATATGTTTCCGCTGAGTTTACAATGGGCCCTGCTGCATAGCATCATGGTATCATTGGGTCAATTTTGGGGGCCTTCTGGTCCTTGATGGCGTCCAAAATCTTGGTCAGTTTAAAGGCTTCCTGACTGTCCGCAGTGCTCTCCGTCCTTTCCGCCTGAGGCAGATAGGTGGTCGTCATGCGTGCTTTGGTCTGCCTACATCTTGTCCATTCCAAAGTGCTATATATAAATATATTCTGTTTCCCTTGATAAACGAAGTGTCCAAGTTTGGTGGAAGCATGATTCACATCGTCCTTGTCTTCCAAACATAAGTCACACAATCCACCGCGAAATCATGCAACCACGCTGTTGGAAGAATGGTCTGTTGTTCTGTATTCCTTTAATTATCCCAAAATGGCCCTTGGGCCGTTCTTGGGCAAAACACGACCAGAGTCCCGCTTTAGTTTTCTTTACATATTATGAATATGTATTGAATAGAAATAGTACAAAAATGTACAAAATATGCTATTTTGTACTACAGTCTCCCATGCCTTCGCTTGTGGCTTCCTGCTGGCCGATGAGCGTGGCCGGTCCGGGCCCTGCGCAGCCATCGTCGTTTCTCAAACATGTACGTAACGAATGCATGCAAGTGGTGGGTGACACATGAGAGATTGAAGACTTTAAGATGACTCATGGTTTCAGATGATATTATATAGATGGTTTAAAGATGTTTAAAGTGATTTCAGGTGATGTTTAACCCAAGAGAGGACTTAAAAGTGTCTAGCCAGAAAATATGGAGATAGCCAAGGAAAGGCAGGACATTGCCCACAATGGTTAATGTGGGTGTAGCTTGGGGTCCAGGACTCGGAAAGCTTGAATGTGGATGTGGTGATGCGATGATGATCCTCGTGGTGAATGGCAGGTGTTGGAGATTGTTCAACTTGAACCCCCTGCAGAATCCTTGGAAAAGTATGGGACTACCGTGGAGAAACCATACTCATACTCGGATTATCACAATTTGACCTTCCTCTAAATCCTCCAAATAGAATCCAAATCCGGGCCTGTCGAAGCATCTCTCTTAAGTCGTCGAACTGCGCGTTGATGTCCGTTTTCTGTTCTTGCAGTGCCACCAGAACAGGTGTGTGTTTCACATCCTTCTCCTGAACCGCTGCAATCACTGCTGAGAACTCATGCGATAAGTCCAAATTTCGCTGAAGCTCACGGATGGCTGCCAGGATTTCTCTGCTTTCTCGCTCCGCAGCAGCTGAGACGCTCCGATCTGGAACATTTGAGGGGCTTCCCTCAAGGTCGTTTCGGATGCTGATGGCATAGGGACTCGAGGGATTCTGTTGCAGCTCTCCTCTCCGCAGCTGCTCCATCTCTCGCAATGCCAGTTGGAAATCCCCGTGCTCAGTGACCCAGCTGTGAAGGGCTCCGGTGACCTGCGACAGATCCACCAGCTGCCGGTCACCCAAGATCTCTTGCAGCTGCTGCAGCTGATGGTTGAAGTGATCACTCAGAATTTTGGATAAGAATTCCTGCCACTCCCAGCTCCTTAGGTGCTGAAAAACACCACTAAGTGCTTTGGGCCACCGGGAAGACCTATGGACCCGTTTCAATGGGTCTTTCCTCCACAAAACATACACATCAGAAAAATCAAGTGACCCAGATGACCCCAGTCTAGTTTCTCGTGGTAAAATATGTTGAGCTCAAGGAAAATCATTCACTGCTCGTTCCAAGGGCGTTCCAAGCATCTGAGGCCCAATTTCGGTGCTTG